AGCGTCTTGACAGTTGCCCAGCGTGTTCTCCCCAGATGAGGTGTGTGTGTGTCACCCAGGGAGCACGCCGACACAGGGGAAACACTGACACAATCCAAGAGGAAGCACATTCCAACAGACACAGTAACATACATTACCTAGATTTACTATCTTATGTCTATTCACAGCACCAGATAGACCTGGGAAATTAGCAATTGGATTGAATTCCGCAATGACAATTGGCAATTTTAGGAGTAGCTCATTGTTTAGCTCAAGGCACACTATACGGCTTGTGCATTGCCTGCTGTGAGCTCCATAATGTAAAGTAAAACAATTCTATCAGCATCTGTACTCTGGGTTTTGGTCTGTTCTCCTTTAGAATTCCCTAGACTTATGTTCGCAAATACTCTGCTAGACTTGGACAGTGTTGCAGACACCCAATAAACATTTTGAAACAACCAATGAAACTCTCCAGGCAATACCAGATTCTAATATCATAAGAGAAAACATGTCAGAATGTGTGTGTGCTTGTGTGTGTCTGTGTGTGGGTGGGTGTATGACTTTGTGCATGTCTGTCAATGAAAATGCTAAGGGATTCAGCAGCTGAATATCTACATACCATCATAGATATATCAAGATGTTGTCAGAACAGGGATTTATAACACACTTTTGTCCAAAGGTGTATTTCTGCATCTGCACACACCATCTGGGTTCAATAGACAGTAGGCTAGGTTCATTAGCTAAGGGAAGTATTAGGCTCCTACATGAAAATGCCCTCCTGCATGCGTGTCCTTGCACAAGCTCATTCTTTTCAGGAAGTCTCTTGAGAAATGCACATTCCTTTACATCCTCAGTATAACAATGGTCATGCTTGCCGGGTAAAGTAATATGGTTTATTTTACGTGGGGTCCACAAAGGGCGACGCCTAGAGGACAAATGCATCCAGATTACTGTTGTGCAGTCAAAAAAGACAGTACATGATACAGATATAACGTTATGTGTGTGTGTCTCCTGTGTCTCAGAGACACATGAAGGCTATATATAGTGTGCTCAAGTATTAGATAATTAAACATAAAATATTCATGCAACTCTAAATTCACTCACATGTCAGGTTGTAACTCCAGAGATGATGCGATGCGCGTGGTGTCCAGTGCTATCATACACCAAATTAAAGTGTCCAAGAACATTATTCATTCACACAGAGAAGACCACAAAGTAAAGAGTGATGTGGTGAAGGTAAATATCTCGTATAGTCCCGTCAAATAATGATGTGCATCCTGTCTCCGACTGAGAACGCATCGAAACAGGACTACAAGGCTTCGTCTCTAGCCACAAGATTGTCCCGTATCTAGTGAGCTTGAGAGAGGGTCTTCTTGTCCCTCAGTTTGCATCCTACTTCACCGTCAGGGCTCCATTCACAAGAGTGCCGGAGTACCAACCACGACCACTAGAGGGTCCCTATCATCACTAATGAGATCGATCTCTACTCCGCTCTCCGCTACTTAGAGCTTTTCAGCTGTGTATTTTGATCTATGAAAAGTGTAGCCTGTTGAACTTTAACTTCATACACTAAATTAGTTTTGATTGGTTTGATTATTGATCCATTCAAGACCTTTATTTACGAGATAAAAAAAGATACCACCCCTAAGACTTTTTGAGACTTTCCCGCATTATTGTTTTTTCTCTGGAACCTGTAGGCCTATTTTATAGTGTTTTGTTGGAGTTTACCCCCTCCTTCCTCTTCTTCATTTCATCCTTTGCGCTCTCCACTCCCTGCCTTCTCCAACACATTGTTTTATTTCCACCTCCCTCCTTATGGATCTTCTCCAGCAGTTTGTAGAGCGCTTTCACAGTGTCTTCTATCATCTCTGCGTCCACACTCTCTTTTAACTCTCGCTATCTCCCTCTCAATCTCTGCATGTTTTTGCTCCAACCTTCAAATAATTGTGATGCAACTGCTGAATAAGTAGGCTTAATAATTTGTATCAGTTAATAATGCATCAGGCAACATTTTAGAAAAATCTATTCATTCTTATGATCAAACAATACAAAAGTTGCTCAAATATGTTTTGACCTATGGTTAATAGGTACCCACCATGTGAGTGCAGAAATCCAGTTTTGTAAAGTACTTAAGGACTATTTAAGTAGTTTTTAGGGTATGTGCTTTACTATTTATATTTTCGACAACTTTTACTTCACTATATTCCTAAAGAAAATAATGTACTTTTTAATCCATACATTTTCCCTGACACCCAAAACATTTTGAATGCTTAGCAGGACAGGAAAATAGTCAAATTCATGCACAAGTGAACATCCATGGTCATCCCTACTGCCTCTCATCAAACTCACTAAACTGTAAATGATGTCTGAGTGTTGGAGTGTGCCCCTGGCTATCCGTAAATAAATAAAAAGAAAATGGTGCCGTCTGGTTTGCTTAATTGTCACGTTCATTGAGTACAGGATTGGACCAAGGTGCAGCATGGAATGCATACATGTTTATTTAACTAAGTTAACACAGGACAAAACAACAAACGCGACGTGACGCTCACAATGGCTACACCAAAACAAGCCAAACAAGAATCACGATCCCACAACATAGGTAGGCAAAATGGCTACCTAAGTATGAACCCCAATCAGAGACAACGATCGACAGCTGCCTCTGATTGGAACCACACCCGGCCAACATAGATCTACAAACATAGAATGAACACATAGATATACACATTACATAGAATACTCACACCCTGACCAAACCAACTAGCGAACTCTATGTCAGGGCGTGACATTAATATATGGAATTTCAAATTATTTATATTTTTACTTTTGATAGTGAAGTATATGTTCTATTAAGGTATACTACATGGCCAAAGGTATGTGGACTCCCCTTCAAATGAGTGGATTCGGCTATTTCAGCAACACCCAGGTGTATAAAATCGAGCACACAGCCATGCAATCTCCATAGACAAACATTAGCAGTAGAATGGCCCATACTGAAGAGCTCAGTGACTTTCAAAGTGGCACTGTCATAGGATGCCACCTTTCCAACAAGTCAGTTCGTCAAATTTCTGCCCTGCTAGAGCTGCCCCGGTCAACTGTAAGTGCTGTTATTGTGAAGTGAAAACGTCTAGGAGCAACAACAGCTCAGTCGGCGAAGTGGTAGGCCACACAAGCTCACAGAATGGGACCACCGAGTGCTGAAGCGCGTAGCTCGTAAAAATCGTCGGTCCTCTGGAAGCAACGTCAGCACAACAACTGTTCGTCGGGAGCTTCTTGAAATGGATTTCCATGGCTGAGCAGCCGCACACAAGCCTAAGATCACCATGTGCAATGCCAAGCGTCAGCTGGAGTGCTGTAAAGCTCACTGCCATTGGACGCTGGAGCAGTGGAAACAGGTTCTCTGAGTGATGAATCACACTTCACCATCTGGCAGTCCGACGGACGATCTGGGTTTGGCGGATGCCAGGAGAACGCTACCTGCCCCAATGCATAGTGCCAACTGTTAAGTTTGGTGGAGGAGGAATAATGGTCTGGAGCTGTTTTTCATGGTTTGGGCTAGGCCCATTAGTTCCAAAGAAGGGAAATCTTAATGCTACAGCATACAATGACATTCCAGACAATTCTGTGCTTCCAACTTTGTGGCAACAGTTCAGGGAATGCCCTTTCCTGTTTCAGCATGACAATGCCCCCGTGCACAAAGTGAGGTCCATACAGAAATGGTTTGTTGAGATCGGTGTGGAAGAACTTGACTGGCCTGCACAGAGCCCTGACCTCAACCCCATCGAACACCTTTGGGTTGAATTGGAACGCTGACTGCAAGCCAGGCCTAATAGCCCAACATCAGTGCCTGACCTCACTAATACTCTTGTGGCTGAATGAAAGAAAGTCCCTGCAGCAATGTTCCAACATCTAGTGGAAAGCCTTCCCAGAAGAGTGGAGGCTGTTATAGCAGCAAAGGGGGGACTAACTCCATATTAATGCCCATGATTTTGAAATGAGATGTTCGACGAGCAGGTGCCCACATACTTAAGGCCATGTAGTGTATCTTTACTTTTACTCAAATATGTCAATTGGGTACTTTTTCCACCACTGCAGAAATCATTACCACATATATAATAACAGGTATTTTAATGTACGGAGAACAAACATTTTCATGTGACGTAAAACAACTTCCTGTTTGGTTCCCCATCCATGACATTCGTTCAGGGCGGCAGTGTACGTTGTTGTCCCTTTCAGCCTCCTGGAATCAAACATCTAAGGATGCTAAATCCTCTAATGCACCCTTGAATCTCCAGCTGGACCATATCCATCTTTGCACGTATTTTTAATTGCTGGGAGAAGAACAAACCAAAGGGTAAGGCCAGCTAACTAGCTATCTACTACTACCAGCTAGCATGCTGGTCAGCTAGAAATGGCGTTTCAAAAAGCTAGCTAGCGTGCTAGTGACATGCTAACTAACTGTCGGTCATACCGACATTTCAAAGTATCTGGTCAGGCCGCAGTCAGTAGTTAGCTTGCTACTCGCTGAATACTATTTGGAATTGCATTTATGGGGCTTTATTTGGGTAAACATTACAGACAGTACGCGCACCAACATAACTAGCTAGCCAGCTCGAGACATAGACAGCTATTTCTGTTGATATTCCAGCCATCCAAGGGTCTATTTTGGTTTCATTGGTGAAAATACTAGCTATTAGTAAGTGGTCCTCATCTGGAGAGTGGAGATACATTCAGGCCATTGATTCAGATGCTCCTTTTATCCTTATCACATGATAGCATCACGAGTATTCGTTCTATTTTAATTCAACGAAGAAGACCATCACCATCAAGATTTCCTGGGGTATAGTTAAAAAGAAGCCTATATGTGGCTACATGTATAAGCATTTATTTTAGGACGTCTTCTCTTAATACATAAAGTAACATTTGCTTGTCATTGCATTGTTGTTGTGAAGGGGAATCCCAAACTATGTTGTGTAACCAGTTAGTTGGGTTAGCTGATATTGAAAGTGAATGTATATTTTCCAGCCAAATGAACGGAGCAGCATTCCCCTCTCCCACTGCAGAGATGGCGGAGATTAACCGCATCCACTATGAGCTGGAGTACACGGAGGGCATCAGCCAGCGCATGAGGATTCCAGAGATGCTCAAAATGGGCCCCTATGGTCATGACAACCCTGAGGCAGGCTCACATGACCTGCACAACGTCATGATGCAGGTCCCAGAGAGGATCGTAATGTCAGGTAGCTACGTTGGTCCTCCATAGGGTCTCTGTAGTGTTGATACTCCTGGGCAATGTTACTTTTGCTCAAAATGTATGATTTTCTCCCAGACACTAGTTTCATTTTCCATTGCAAACTGTTTTAGGTTTCAAGTCTTACTAAACATAACCCTGTATTGGCCCTTATATGACACCCCTCCTGACTGCTCTTCTCAGGAGACAGTGAGGACTCCCAGTTCCCCAGGCCCAGAGACCTGGACCTGATCCAGTCCACCCCGCTAGAGAGCCTGTCTTTGAAGACCCCACCTCGGGTCCTCACCCTCAACGAGCGGCCACTGGACTTCATGGAAATGGAGCACAGTGCAGCCCCAGTCCAGCCCAGTGAGGAGGTAAGGTAGTGGAGGCTGGAGAGTCTAGAGATGGACAGAGATAGTACTGTTGGGGTGATGTGATGGACCAGGCATGTGTGAACAAGCGGTATCAAACCCTGGTCACCCAAGCAACTCAAGACTGTGCTAGCCCTCTGAGCTAAAGCCTAGACATACGTTATTTGAGCTTACACAAATGTTCAGACATCTGGCAATGCCATTTGTCTTGTGAGCATAGTTCACAGAACCACCTCTACACTGAAAATGTGGAGTTTGAATGTGAAGTCAGTCAGTATTTTACAGGAAGAGGATATCAGTATTTAACTGTTCACCCCTTCTCATAGGTGCGTTCGCAAGGGCGGTTGCGGCGGGAACGTTCAGCCAGCGAGAACACCACTGTCCGTCACAATGGCCAGATTGTCAGAAATGATTCAACGTAAGTAGCCTATCAACTGTGGTCCACACCCCAGTAGTGCCATGCACAAACCACCACCACCACACCCCTCTCCTCTTCTGCAAGCCTGTCCTTCTTTCCTCCTTCCATCTGACCAGTGGTTTTCCCTGTCTGACGGCCTGTTTGTCCATCTCTCACTCTGTTTGTTTGTTGTGATAAAGACTTGGCTGTAGGTGGGTGTCTGTATCTCACCGGTGTTGTTGCCCACTCTGTAGTCTGTTTGGTTGGTAGTTGTATTTGGGTCTGCACCCTGGGCTGTTGCAATGCTGTGTCAGTGTGAGAGTAGTGCAGCTCCCTCCTGTCCTGAGCATGGTACTAAAACTCTCTTAATTCTCTTCACTATTAAAATATTAATATACTATACTGTACCAGGGAGGGGCACCTTACAGTAAACATGGCATAGAGCTATTTAATTTGTTCAAAGCTTATTTCACTATATAAAGTCCTTGGGGATGCTCTTTTGTTTAGGGCATCTTTGTGAGGGATGATTCATTGGGACCTTAATTAGGACCTTTCCATGCTTTTGTTTCCGCATCTCCCTTCCTGGTGGAGGGTTAGGTATAGTTCAGTGGCGCACTAGTATGATTTGTTTGACATCACCCCATCAGTACTATCTCTGTCACTATTTGGTGGCTGTTATCTCGGCGCAGTGAGTAAAGTGCGGATGGTCTTTCTCCCCTCCCTCTTCTTCACTCTCTCTCTCTCCCTCTCTGCTCTGTTTTCTCTGGCTTGGCCACTCATGTTGGTGGGGGCAGTGTGACCCCAGCCCCTCTCCGTGCCTGCCCCCCTCTCGCCATGGCCGAGGACGAACAGAACCAGCACAGCGCTAGCGGCGTTCTCTCTTTCATCCAGTCCACCACGCGCCGGGCCTACCAGCAGGTCTTGGAGGTTCTGGACGAGAACCACCGCAGGTGACCCCATGACCCCTCCTCTTAAGGTCATCTATAGGCTGACCTCTCCCACTCTGCTCATCATGCAGAGATTAACTCCTCAATACAATTGTATTAATTCTCTTTGAGGCAATGAAGTCCCTGCTGTTGTCTCTTTCGCATGGACAGGTTCATCAAATAAAATCGCGGCTGTTTGGACAATTAAACAAATGTATCTTTGTATAAGTTGGATATTTGCTCAATGAACTAAATAATTTTGATCATATTTTGATCATTTCTTTTGGGGCAATGTGTAGGGAATACCTGGTAATTTATAACATTCAGTAACACAATATGTCACAATGTATATTTATTTATCATTGCAAATCAAGATTGACTTTGCCTGATGTGCTGTTATTGAGCTGTGGCCTCGCTCAGTGCTTGACTGAATTGGTTGAGAGGAGAGTAGTGTGTAGAGCTAAGTCATATTTTCATTGAAATCAGTCATTGAGTTTTAAATTAGTGCTGCTCTTGGTCTATCCATGTGCTGTAAGGCCGTTATCAAGTGTTGTCAACAGCCAACTTATATAGTGATGTGTATTGTCTACTCTGAGGAGAAGTTAGTGATTTGGAGATTCATATATTGGTAGTCTTACAGAGGTCTGTTTTACACTGCATGATCGAAGTCATGAGACATTGGAACTATGAAGTTCAAGAGTGAATGTGAGAGACTTTGGGATTGTATGTGTGAGACACTGTACATTGGTGTGCTGCTCTACCTCTCTCTTGCTTCCTCTCTCCCTTCCCTGTTTCTGCCCTCTTCAGCAAGCCATCACTGCGAGGGGGGTCTGCCTCGACCTCTAACCCCCTGCATGAATCCAGGTAACTCCACCTGGCACGTAGACTTCACTCCTCTCTTTCTCTCTTCCTTTTTCCTCCTCTCCCTTTCCTTTCATCATACAGGCCCATCATACTCAACTCTGGACCCATAAGCCAGTTCCACACAATTTTTTTTCATTGTTCCTTCTAATCAGGGACTGATTTAGACCTGGGACACCAGGTGTGTACAAATAATTATCAGGTAGAACAGAAAACCAGCAGGCTCCGGACCTCCTAGGGTATGAGTTGAATAACCCTGATATAGGCTATATTTATTGTTAGAAGAGGATGAGCGTCGTCACTGTCAGTGTTTCAAGTTTCCAATATTAGTTGAAAAGATAGTTGGGCAATGAGTAATGCCAGTCTATTGAACAATTGTCAATGTATTGTGAATATATTTATAATAGAAATACATTGTAAACAGTTCAATCATTGATCATTAAGCTGAGAACTTCATTGTCATATTATGATCAACGATCGGAAATATCATCATGCCTGATCCATGATAGAAATGTTTAACCAGGATGTGTTTGGTCTATTTCTCTTCACCCAAGGCTTAACCTGGCCACTCTAGACACTACTCTGGATGTCTCCATGGCTCCTGATGACATGGCTGTCGTAGATGCAGCAACACTTCGACGTCAGGTCTGCTCCTAATACATTTTGACTGTACTGTACTTCTATGGAAGGTATCTCATTTAGCTGTTTTGTTTTGGCTATATTGGTTGGTGGTGTTGTGATTTTCATTGGTGTGCCTGTAGATCATCAAGCTGAACCGGAGACTCCAGCTCATAGAAGAGGAGAACAAGGAGAGGTCCAAACGTGAGATGATCATGTACTCCGTCACCGTAGCCTTCTGGCTTATCAACAGCTGGGTTTGGTTCCGCCGCTAGAATCCTTTCCTCAGAACCACTGCCAGAGAGTGGAGAACAAAGCCTCTCCCCTCCCCTTCTATGTGTCAAATGTTAGCAAAATGTACTCTCTGCACTTAGTCCCAGCGCTGGACGGCCTTGCTATTGGGCAATGGGATGTTTGTTTTCATCAAATTTCATGTAATTGTTATTCTTTAGAATGCTATATTATTGTATTTTTTTGCTTAAGAAGCTAAGAATGACTCGGCTGTAAATATTTCTTAATGTTACTCAAAGTTGTAATCATTGCTCCCAAGGTATTTCCAACAGATAAGAGGTCTAAAGAAAAGGAAAAAATAAGCCACGGTGGAGACTCATCGAAATGGGCTAAATATGTTAAATATGTATTGGGGACTGGAGTGATGTGAAAAGATTTTTAAAAATAATAATAATTGTGAAGTACTGCTGTTATATTGTAAGATAATACATTATGTAACATTTGCTCATGGGTTTAATTGATGTATAATACTGCAAGGAAATATACAGTCACACTATTGCTATGACACCATTTTATTAATTATGTATGGCCCCTATCCACCAAGCCATAGGCATTCTTTTTTTTTCTCCTCTCATATTTATCTTCAGTTCCTACTTTTTTTTTTACGAAGAACTTGCTGGCACAATGTTTCCAAATTGGTTGTAGTTTTCAGTTGTAATGTACCAGCAGATTCATACAATTTTATTGGAATAAATGAAAAAATAGCTAATTCTGATGTTTGAGTTTAGTTATATTAGTTGTTACCGGTATTAATTAGCAGTGTTGGGGAAGCTAATCTGAAAATATAGTTGACCAATTACTTCACACTGAAAGAAGTTAAGCTACACTAAAGTTACCCTTAAGACAATTATAGTTTAACTAAAGTGCCTTAGAAAAAGTATTTCACTACGTCCAAGCTCCTTCATGAACGATTATCACATCTACAGTGGGGGAAAAAAGTATTTAGTTAGCCACCAATTGTGCAAGTTCTCCCACTTAAAAAGATGAGAGAGGCCTGTAATTTTCATCATAGGTACACGTCAGCTATGACAGACAAATTGACGGAAAAAAAATCCAGAAAATCAAATTGTAGGATTTTTAATGAATTTATTTGCAAATTATGGTGGAAAATAAGTATTTGGTCACCTACAAACAAGCAAGATTTCTGGCTCTCACAGACCTGTAACTTCTTCTTTTAAGAGGCTCCTCTGTCCTCCACTCGTTACCTGTATTAATGGCACCTGTTTGAACTTGTTATCAGTATAAAAGACACCTGTCCACAACCTAAAACAGTCACACTCCATACTCCACTATGGCCAAGACCAAAGAGCTGTCAAATTACCAGAAACAAAATTGTAGACCTGCACCAGGCTGGGAAGACTGAATCTGCAATAGGTAAGCAGCTTGGTTTGAAGAAATCAACTGTGGGAGCAATTATTAGGAAATGGAAGACCTACAAGACCACAGATAATCTCCCTCGATCTGGGGCTCCACGCAAGATCTCACCCCGTGGGGTCAAAATGATCACAAGAACGGTGAGCAAAAATCCCAGAACCACACGGGGGGACCTAGTGAATGACCTGCAGAGAGCTGGGACCAAAGTAACAAAGCCTACCATCAGTAACACACTACGCCGCCAGGGACTCAAATCCTGCAGTGCCAAGACGTGTCCCCCTGTTTAAGCCAGTACATGTCCAGGCCCGTCTGAAGTTTGCTAGAGTGCATTTGGATGATCCAGAAGAGGATTGGGAGAATGTCATATGGTCAGATGAAACCAAAATATAACTTTTTGGTAAAAACTCAACTCGTCATGTTTGGAGGACAAAGAATGCTGAGTTGCATCCAAAGAACACCATACCTACTGTGAAGCATGGGGGTGGAAACATCATGCTTTGGGGCTGTTTTTCTGCAAAGGGACCAGGACGACTGATCCGTGTAAAGGAAAGAATGAATGGGGCCATGTATCGTGAGATTTTGAGTGAAAACCTCCTTCCATCAGCAAGGGCATTGAAGATGAAACGTGGCTGGGTCTTTCAGCATGACAATGATCCCAAACACACCGCCCGGGCAATGAAGGAGTGGCTTCGTAAGAAGCATTTCAAGGTCCTGGAGTGGCCTAGCCAGTCTCCAGATCTCAACCTTATAGAAAATCTTTGGAGGGAGTTGAAAGTCAGTGTTGCCCAGCGACAGCCCCAAAACATCCACTGCTCTAGAGGAGATCTGCATGGAGGAATGGGCCAAAATACCAGCAACAGTGTGTGAAAACCTTGTGAAGACTTACAGAAAACGTTTGACCTGTGTCATTGCCAACAAAGGGTATATAACAAAGTATTGAGAAACTTTTGTTATTGACCAAATACTTATTGTCCACCATAATTTGCAAATAAATTCATTAAAAATCCTACAATGTGATTTTCTGGATTTTTTTTTCTCATTTTGTCTGTCATAGTTGACGTGTACCTATGATGAGAATTACAGGCCTCTCATCTTTTTAAGTGGGAGAACTTGCACAATTGGTGGCTGACTAAATACTTTTTCCCCCCACTGTAAATCTGAAATTATAGACTACAAATTGCAAGAATAGATCACCCTTGGGTCAGATGTTAACAGAATGTGTGATTTAGCATATTAAACACCAAGCTACTGCTAAATGTAATACAATTACTAGTTGAACTAAATGTTGGTCACTACTACCTAACACTGTTAATTAGTATTAAGCATATTGTTATTACTATGTTATTACAATGTAAAATGGAACCACGTCCAGGGTTGGAAGTTGGAACCATCTCATCATTCTTTAAACTGGAACTAACTTGGCTCTTTAGGGTTGCTTTCTGGAAGGTTTTCATAGTTACACACCGTCAGAATACTGTCATGGCGTCCGGATACATTGTAAGTCGTGGTGTGCTAACATTAGGAATTCACTATCAACATTTTTGTAGAAATGTACTCCTCACACAGACCCGAGAGAAGAAGCGATGGATGAAAGCATATACTCTTTTGATGGAAAGAAAGTTGAAGATAGAAGGGCCTCCACTACCTAAGCCACGGTATGTAAAATGCTAGCTAAGGTGTCAAGGCCAATAATAATAATATGCCATTTAGCAGACGCTTTTATCCAAAGCGACTTAGTCATGTGTGCATACATTTTTACGTATGGGTGGTCCCGGGGATCGAACCCACTACCCTGGCGTTGGGCTACAGAATCTGGGGCAATTTACAATAAATACTGAAATTGGATGGCTAGCCAATATAGAACAGATTACACGACATTAACAAAAGTATGTGGACACCTGCTCTTCGAACATTTCATTACAAAATCATGGGTATTAATATGGAGTCCCCCCCCCCCGGCTTTCCACTAGATGTTGGGGACTTGCTTCCATTCAGCGACGAGCATTAGTGAGGTCGGGGACTGATGTTTGACGATTAGGCCTGGCTCACAGTTGGCGTTTCAATTCAACCCAAGGTGTTCGATGGGATTGAGGTCCGGGCTCTGTGAAGTCCTGTCATGTTCTTCCACACCGATCTCGACAAACCATTTCTTTATGGACCTCGCTTTGTGCATGGGGGCATTGTCATGCTGAAACAAACTGGCCTTCCCCAAACTGTTGCCACAAAGTTGGAGGCACAGAATCGTCTAGAATGTCATTGTATGCTGTAGCGTTAAGATTTCCCTTCACTGGAAGTAAGGGGCCTAGCCCGAACCATGAAAAACAGCCACAGACCATTATTCCTCCTCCACCTAACTTTACAGTTGGCTCTATGCATTGGGGCAGGTAGCGTTCTCCTGGCATCCGCCAAACCCAGATTTGTCCGTTGGACTGCCAGATGGTGAAGTGTGATTCATCACTCCAGAGAACGCTTTTCCACTGCTCCAGTCCAATGGTGGTGAGCTTTACACCACTCCAGCTGACGCTTGGCATTGCGCATGGTGATCTCAGGCTTGTGTGCGGCTACTCGGCCATGGAAACCCATTTCATGAAGCTCCCGACGAACAGTTATTGTGCTGACGTTGCTTCCAGAGTCAGTTTTTAACTCGGTAGTGAGTGTTGCAACCAAGGACAGATGATTTTTACGCGCTTCAGCACTCTACGGTCCCGTTCTGTGAGCTTGTGTGGCCTACCACTTTGCGGCTGAGCCGTTGTTGCTCCTAGATGTTTCCACTTCACAATAACAGCACTTACAGTTGACCGAGGCAGCTCTAGCAGGGCAGAAAACTGACTTGTTTCAAAAGTGGCATCCTATGACGTTGCCACGCTGAAAGTCACTGAGCTCTTTAGTAAGGCAATTTTACTGCCAATGTTTGTCTATGGAGATTGCTTGGCTGTGTGCTGGATTTTATACACCTGTCAGCAACGGGTGTGGCTGAAATAGACAAATCCACTCTTTTGAAGGGGTGTCCACATACTTTTGAATATATAGTGTATCTTAGCTACATACTGATTGCATGCACCGTGATCTTAGTTATTAATTTCCCTATGTTCTGTCACCTAGCGCTCAAAAACCTAACTGGGACTACCATGCAGAGGTCCAGGCATTCAGCAGCCGCCTTAAAGAAAGCTTCTCCCCGGAGCTCCTGAAGACAGCCTTCGTGAACCCCTGTTACATTCAGTCAGAGCAAGAGAGGAGGCAGGCACTCGGCGTGGACACTGAAACGGCCGCTCTGGTCCTGCGGGACAACATTCAGCTGCACACACAGGGCTTGGAATTCACCAAGAGCTTCATGTCTGACTGGTGCAGGGACAGCTTCCCTAGCCTGCCCAGCAAGGGAGTGGTCGCCATTGTCGGACACCTAATCAGTCATCCAGTAGTGTGCCATGTGGCGCGGAACCTCGCCATCGAGGACCTAACTATGAGCGCTCAATTCCCTGTCCCTGACGAAGTATTGCATAGTACGTTCCTCGCTGTGATCGGAGCACTACAGAAGAGCAGTGGAGCTGAGAGAGCAGGACTTTTCATTCGGGTAAGAATAAGATTCTTTCAACTTTCAACACACCCATCTAAACAGTCATGATTAAACATTTCAAATTAACATTAGTTTGCTTGTGTAGCTGAAGATGGTCACACCTCCCATGCCCTCTTTTCTCCTACCAGGATTTCCTGGTCACCCAGCTGGTGGGGAAAGACCTGTTTGAGATGTGGTCGGTGGTGAACCCCATGGGGCTGCTGGTGGAGGAGCTGTCCAAGAGGAACGTGGCCCTCCCAGAGCCTCGCCTCACCAGGTCGGCCGGCGCTGGCACCGTGCTCCCACTCTACTTTGTAGGGCTGTACAGGTACGCCTCACTGGTCGCTCCCATCAGTACGCCTCCTGATAAAGCCAGGAGATTTTCCTGACCAGGAATACGCTGTGTCCCAGGACCTAAAGTGTTTTTTTTCTGGTCAGGAAAAACTCTTGGCATTACTTATGGATTATGTGTGAGGTATGTGGTAGTGTTCTGCCGGTAGTTCTTTGTTTGTTGGTCATTGTACTGAGTGAGTGAGTGTGTGTGTGTGTGTGTGTCCTCAGTGATAAGAAGCTCCTTGCCGAGGCTCCAGGGGAGACCGTTCTGGCTGCAGAGGAGGAGGCGGCACGCGTGGCCCTGAGGAAACTCTATGGCTACACTGAGAACCGGAGACCCTTTGACTTCTCTGCAGCGGAGCAGCCTCGGGCGTCTGTCCTCCAATCCATCAGCAGCAGCTAAAGGACGTCACCCCAAGCTTTACAATGTCTTCCATCAGTTAATGACAGCTCTTGACACGCCAGAGGGTCAAAGTCAAGCGGTTCCCTTAGCCTGTCAGGACCAACCTCTCACAGACTCATACCCCCAGACCTAGGAATACCCTCCAAACTATGTGGTCTCCTCAGCCTTGTAAATTAGAGGACTGTCCTTTGGCAAAATATTGTGTTTTTTGTGTAATATATTATTGATCTAAATGTTTCATGTCCATAATAAATATGTATCCCTGAGCACATCTCTTGAAAGAAAGTTTATCATACCATCTTTGGTTTCATCTGCTGATTATTGTGTGTTATTTATTGTGTATGACTGTCCCACAACAGATGACATTAGTCTGCTCAAAAAAAGACTGGGTTTAGCAATGTGCAAAGTGTTTAGATTGAGTTCACAAGAGCAGAATCCAAGACACTATAAGTTGGCAGGTAATTTTTGGGCTAGTCAGGATCACCTGCTGTGATTGGTTGCCAGGACAATGTCTCTGCCATCCATAGTGGGAGATGTGGCTCCCTCTATCCTCCGCAAATGCCACGGCAACCAATTGGCAGAACTTGGAGTGAGAACTCGGCTTGAGTGTCTGGCCTGGTTTATTATAGCTGTATTTTACTATGAAAAGTCTGACACACCAGTATAGACACCCGTTTTGTCACTTTGCAAATGCACTTTTATTGTGCATTTATTTACACAGTATGGGACCAACTGGATAATTGCTCTTAGACCTCAACTGGATAATTTGTATTTTACATCAAATGACTTTTACAGAGAGTATTTGGATTCTGTAATTCATCTTTGTTACAAATTGAGTATTTTATCTGTAGAGATTGCAGGCAATATACACATGCCAACTGTGCTATCCTCCCTCCCTGGTCCCTCAGCATTGGCAGCAGAACCTGTGGACCTAGCTGCATTTTTTCTCATCCATTCTTTATTGAAGCTGTCATTTTGCCTTTAGAGGGAGAATGAAGGGCTCAATCTGCAGGCAGGAAGTGTAGGCCAACCCTAATAGGTCTACATCCCACTATATTCATCACTCCTCATTCATGTACATTTGTATTTTGTCTAAACATCTGCATTCTGCACATATTTTTCTGCACTGATACATTTGTATTGAGAGACTGATGTTTCTTGGCCCGTATTCAAAAAGCATCTCAAAGTAGGAGTGCTGATCTAGGATACGTTTTGCCTTTTGAATCATAATGAATAAGAGGGGCAACCTGATCCTAGATCAGCACTCCTAATGTGAGACGCTTTATGAGTACAGGCCTAGTACTCTTGCCCTATGTTAAGCCAGTGTCCTCCAAGGTAAGCTGTCAAAGCAGATCTTCTCTCAGATGTAGGCTACTCAGTGGGACCAAGTCACCCTTGGAGTTCCAGGAAACAGCACTTGTTTTTATACAGTAGGAGCCATGAATGTGAAGCACAGTCACTCACATGGGGCATGCAAGCACAGCAGCCTTTTCTTTTACTGTCAATGCAGTAGCCCATCCACACTCTATGTACCCCAACGTTATGTGCTGTTTTTTCTGAATGATAAGAAAAGCAGTGAGAATAGCAGATTCTCAAATAGTGTTCCACCACTAATAAATAAGCAATTTATGATCATTGAAATCTATAACACATCATCACCTAAGGTACAGTAGGTGACATACAAATATTCTGCACATATTTGACATATACAAATGTTCTACACATATCTGACATCTTCTATTCCAGGGATCATCAACTAGCCGCTGGCCGATTTTTTTCTTGAGCGGATGGTCGGGGTGCCGGAACATAATTATAAATAATTTGTAGACTGCAAATTGACCGCAAGAAGCCCAAACATATATAATGTTTGACTAAAACATCACTTCAAACCTTGCTTACGTTTGTCTATGATCACGTGTCTCTCTATTATGCGTGGGAATACTTGGGAACAGATTTCTTAAATTAAAATCACTTGGAACTTTCCTGTTTTTAGTCTTTTATGTCCGGCAGGGATGTAGCTCAGTTGGTATAGCATGGCGTTTGCAACGCCAGGGTTGTGGGTTCGATTCTCACGGGGGGGCGGTATGAAAAATAACAATAATAATATATGCACTCACTAACTATAAGTCGCTCTGTATAAAAGCGTCTGCTAAATGACTAAAATGTAAATTTATCACGAGAAGGAAAGTGCCTGGAATTAGGCCACATGAGGCAATGACAAGTGTCAAGGCGCTGGGTGGCGCAGGTTAGCCCATGGAAATCAGGAGCGTGCAGTGCGTGACTCCCTCTCTTGACTACGACGCCTTGTTCAGCTGACAGTCATAGTAGCCGCTCTACTCCGATTCGGTACCCGTTTAGCAGCAAAAGCTTTTCCCGTTACTTGCAATTCCCCCATCCTTCCCTGGTTTTGTTTTCTTTCCCCTATTTGTCCCAGTCATGGCGGCGAGTGCGAAAAGAAAGCAAGAGGAGAAACACCTGAAGATGCTGAGAGAAATGACGAGTTTGCCTCCCAACAGAAAGTGCTTTGACTGCGATCAGCGCGGCCCAACCTATGCCAACATGACGGTGGGGTCTTTCGTCTGCACCTCCTGCTCTGGCATACTGTAAGTAGAAATGTGATTGAATGAGTGACCTTTTAATTCCGCGTTGACAGGCCGCACTGTCATGATGCTAAATACCTAGTTACTAGCTAGCTAACCGTTTGCTAGGTAGCTAGCTATCCATTCCTCCCAGTCTCTTTCCATTTTGAGCTGAAATTGTCTTGTGGGTTGGATGTCTGCTGTGTTAGCTATAGCTAGCTAACTAGATATAGCCAAATGAACGCGATATATCTAGTATAAGAGTAGGATAGTTCGCTAAATAACCAGATACAGTTAGCATCTCTTAGTAAGCTAGTAAGCTCGCTGGTAGCTAACTAACGTTAGCTAGCCACATACTGTAACGGCAATTTACCAGTAGTTAGCTAATGTTAGCTGGCTCCAATCAATTAACGCAGTTAAACAGTATAGTTAGCTACTGTAACTAACTAAATAGTAAACCGCTAAATGTGATCAGTGTGATTTGCTAGTTTGAGATCTGTGGACAAGATGAGCATCATTAAGAAACGTGTCACACGCTGCAGTCGTTTTCACACTGCAACCTGGACTCAGGGGTAGATGCAATATAGTGAACGAAAATCCGGGAGACCTAATTAGTAAATGTTACATTTCGTATGCAGGGCTCTACGCTGACCTTTTTTACAAGGAGCACATGTCCGCTTAAGTTGAAAAATGTAGGCACACACAAAGAAATGTAGGTACACAAGAAAAAATATTTGAGATAATAAAGCTACAATCCTTAATTTCTTATGAGATTCGAACACAGGCTGTATGTATGCAGGAAGCCTGGTGTGATTCTAGTGTGGGGAAGTGGTGGCATGGCCCATTGGCCCCGTTTCGCTACATCAGCAGCATGCAATAAAAAATATTTGAGGTAATAAAGCTAGAATCCTTAATTTCTTATGAGATTCGAACACACAACCACCCACGTTTCGGTTTTGCCATAAAGGTAGAATCAGCTAAATGATGTTGCCACTAGCAGCGCCACAGATATTGAGATGAGCGAGATATAAGACTTTGCTCTCAGTCACGCACAGTATATGCGTTGTGCACTGGATCGCTTCACACTGTTCACAGCGTGGTAGCCAGGGCGCCAAAACAGCAGAGAAGTTGAGCCTCGCGCTTCAACTCTCTTAGTTGTAGTGGAAATGTATCCACTATGCTGTTTACTTCCTGCATCTAAGTCATATCGCTGAGTCTACTTAATTGCAAATTCCACACAAAAACCATCCTTTGGTATTTGTTTCATTAGTCCATTGTTGATATAGTCCCAAACAGAAATACAGCTGATATGAGGCATTTTGCATCATATGATACAAAACGTATCATCATATGATTCAAAACATATCATACCGGCTGTATTTCCGTGTTTTGAAGGTTATATATCTTGAAAACTTCATTGCTGACATGCAAAACATTTTGGGACTATATCAACAATGGACTAATGAAACAAATACCAAAATATAGTTTTTGGGTGGAGATTTCCTTTAAGTAACCAACTGTCTTATCTAACCATAACAAAGGTAACATATCATACTAATTTGAGTGTCCCAGATTTTTGTTTACTGTGTTACGTCTAGTCTGAGAGCAGCCTGGACACTAGCCAGTTAACTTTGCTCCTCAGGTGGCTAGCTAGCGATTTTATTGTCAATCACCCAGTTTTTTCTAGTTGACCACCCAGCTAGCTATCAAGCCAGGCAATGTCGACCACATTAAAACAAGTGTCATCTGCCTAGCTATTAAGGTGGTAGGGGAAACTCATTTTCAAAATGGCATTTTACTATTTAACATAACAGTATTTCTGTGATGCAAGGTTGATGCTGTTCCTCTGGCTTGTACTGTTGTGTAACCAAGCATCTGTATAGCTTGGGATTGAGGATTAGTGGGACTGAAGCTGTGTTTTTCTCCTCCCTACTCCCACCAAAATAATGCAATCTCAGTTATATGTAAAATGTTGTTGAGGAAATTAATTTTTAAAGATCTGGGAAAAAAGAACACCACACAGGCAGAGAAAAAAACTAGATCATTTTCTAGATTTTTATGTGCCACTCAGCTTTTTCATTTCAACCTGGCCTTGTTTGTTCAGAATCTGACAATGCTTGGTAGTTGCATGCATGGTAAATAATGACTTGTTACATATCTCAAACAGAGGACATCACTGGTGTACTGTTCACCATTTCCTGGTTTTCAGCTAGGTTGACGAACATCAGGTGTCTTCAACAGCAGCAAGCTTGTTTGTTTTTTCACCATTAAAAGAATTCCTGCTGACGTAAATGAGATGATAATGAACATTACCCCAGACCTCCCTGGTTTGCTAACCTATAATATTCTGCAGTAGATCTATATAATGTCATTATGCTAATCACTTGCAGAACACCTTTCATCTCAAGTCTTTGGGGGATTTCAGTTTTTACTCTTCCTTACAGTTAGGCCTAAAACCACCCATGTTGTGCTAGTCAGTACATTCGCAGATTCTTCTCTAGCATCATAGTTTGTGTATGAGGTTGGCTGTAGCTTTCTGCTGAACTCTACACCCAGTTTGCATAGGCTACACTGCAGAGCTAGGCTAGCAACCTTTATCTGTCTCTGGTGTGTCTTGACACAAGTTCCTGAGCACCAGCCTCGCCCTTGGGACACGAGCCCACAATGTCCTGATTACTTCATCAATGCTGCGCAGTGAGACGCCATTCGCCGGACTTAGCTTTCCTTCCTCAATGCCTCACTGAGGTCAACCTGTTATGGTCCATTAGCGGATAATGGTTAGCTTAATAATGGCAGAAAAGGTGAAGTGTGTGTCCCTCCCTGACTCTGTCCTTCATAGCTCCATTAAGAGGTAGGGGAACTGAGACTGACTTAGCTGCTTCCCAGTCTGGTTTTAAGGTGCCCCTGTCTCCTTGTTGGGTTTCCCCCATCAGAATTGTTCTCTTGCACCCCAACCCTTTTCTCTTATTACACACACTGGATCTGTTTTAGGTGTGTACTTTCATCATTCGGTCTAGCCTAAGTGGTACTATCTGGGTGGGCGGTGTTTATAATGTCTTTGTTCTGGCAGCTAAGGGGTGTGTGTGTGCGCTTCAACTGTGAGAACACTGTGTGAGAATCATTGTCTGCAGATGGACAGTTTGGTCCTTCCCTCTCTCATCTCTAATGGTTCTGCAGGGATTCCACTGTGAATTTCCCAGTGGTGCTGTGGTATTAAACTTTGATGTGGGATAATGGAGTTATTTTCTGCGCTCAGACACACAAGCTCCTCTGAAGAGTTTCACACTGTCTCTCAGACAGACTGTGTAATGTGAAAAATAACCCAAGATGGTAGCCAAAACTGTAAAGTCTACCAACTGCAAAACTACCAGGTCTTACCTACCAAACATAGCCCTATAGGCAAGCCATATCAGGTAGGGTATTAATGTCTTGTCTAGCTAGTGGTCTATACCTTGTTCCAGTGTAATAACACAATAGCTAGGCGGTCCTTCTTTAGTGCTAGCAGGATTGGATTTGGTTTCCCAGCAGAACGATGACCGATCCTCCTTTCTGCTGATCAGGCTATCCATTTTACTTATGCGGTGGATCTGAGTCTTGTGCAAATCTTTCTTGGCAGGACTGTCATGTTGCTGAGATAGAGAGACGTGGGAGGCAGGGGAAATGACTGCTTTGCTGTCTGCCTCGTGGTACTGTATGTATGCAGGAAGCCTGGTGTGATTCTAGTGTGGGGAAGTGGTGGCATGGCCCATTGGCCCTGTTTCGCTACATCATCAGCATGCAGTGTAGTTAAACAGGAAGCGGAAAATTCCGGAAGTTGCGAATTGACTTCTTATCTTACTTTGGTTCCCAGGAAGGGTAGAGGAGGTTAGCGCTGACTGAGAGACATCAAATTACTGTATGCGGGACAATTTCCCAGACCCAGATGTCTTTTTCTTGGAAAACACTTTCAGTGGGGACTCTGCATTGAGCATGCTTTTTAGTCCAGGAGTAAACTTAATCTGGGACTGGGAAACTGGCTTATTGTGTTCTTTGAGACCCTTTTGTGCTTGCCGACTTATGCCGACATAGGCTAATGATAGTGTTACAAGCTACTGGTTTAGGCCTATAATTTAAGGATATGTGTGTTTGTATTTTTGATAGGATAGCTCTTAGAGCTGCTGGCATGTCTATCCTTCCCACACCCTTTAGAGAATTTATTTTATTTAACCTTTATTTAACTAGGCAAGTCAGTTAAGAACAAATTCTTATTTACAATGACGGCCTACACCGGCCAAACCCGGACGACGCTGGGCCAATTGTGCGCCGTCCTATGGGACTCCCAATCACGGCCGGTTGTGATACAGCCTGGAATCAAACCAGGGGGTCTGTAGTGACGCCTCAAGCACTGAGATGCAGTGCCTTAGACCGCTGCGCCACTCCGGAGCTGAAGGAATGTGACCAGTTCCACGACCATCCTCCTGAGCTCTATCTCTTGTTAGCCACTTACTACCCCCCCCCCCCCCCCCCCCCTTCCCTTCCCTTCTACAGGAACCTACCTTAAAGACCCTCTGGGTCTAAGGTCAACTTCAACCTAAAACACAACACTATTTCAACGCTCATTCATAAGACTGCTGCTTGATTGTCTTTCCTTCTGTTGATCCTAATGCCTTTTGATTTGGTTTGAGATTAATAGTTGGTATTTTCTTGTCATCGATTTGAGTAGTTAACTAGGCCAGTTAGTTAGGCTAACTCAGTTGCGTAGTTATCTAGGCCAGTTAGTTAGGCTAACTGATTTCAGTAGCTAACTAGGCCAGTTAGTTAGGCTAACTGATTTGAGTATTTAACTAGGCCAGTTAATTGGGCTAACTGATTTGAGTAGTTATTAACTAAGCCAGTTAGTTAGCTAACTGCTTGCCTACTTGTCAAGGGGGTCAGAGCTGGGGCACTTCTCGGCCCCTCTCCTCCCCTGCCTGTGGCTTGTTTAATGGGTGGGGTTAGAATCTACTGTGCAAACACATTCCATATGAAGGTGGAGAGGCTTTTCCCAGGAGGAAAACAATGTTTGTTGTAGAGGTTTCCTTACAGTAGGAAGTTAATATAGTGACACATTGACCATATTTCAGGGACCATTGTTATTTTTCTGACCATGTCAGCCAGGACCTGACCAGGAAAACCTCTCAGACGTATTTGAATTTTTTTCTGGTTATTTCATGTGATTAGTAAAAACTCCTGAGCCCAACCATAGTTTATGGTGACTGACCGTTGTGTTCTTGTACAGTGAGGGAAAAAAGTATTTGATCCCCTGCTGATTTTGTACGTTTGCCCACTGACAAAGAAATGATCAGTCTATAATTTTAATGGTAGGTGTATTTGAACAGTGAGAGACAGAATAACAACAAAACAATCCAGAAAAACGCATGTCAAATGTTATAAATTGATTTGCATTTTAATGAGGGAAATAAGTATTTGAACCCCTCTCAATCAGAAAGATTTCTGGCTCCCAGGTGTCTTTTTATACAGGTAACGAGCTGAGATTAGGAGCACACTCTTAAAGGGAGTGCTCCTAATCTCAGTGTGTTACCTGTATAAAAGACACCTGTCCACAGAAGCAATCATTCAATAGATTCCAAACTCTCCACCATGGCCAATACCAAAGAGCTCTCCAAGGATGTTAGGGACAAGATTGTAGACCTACACAAGGCTGGAATGGGCTACAAGACAATCGCCAAGCAGCTTGGTGAGAAGGTGACAACAGTTGGTGCGATTATTCGCAAATGGAAGAAACACAAAATAACTGTCAATCTCCCTCGGCCTGGGGCTCCATGCAAGATCTCACATCGTGGAGTTGCAATGATCATGAGAACGGTGAGGAATCAGCCCAGAACTACACGGAGGATCTTGTCAATCAAGGCAGCTGGGACCATAGTCTACGCCGTGAAGGACTGAAATCCTGCAGCGCCCGCAAGGTCCCCCTGCTCAAGAAAGCACATATACATGCCCGTCTCAAGTTTGCCAATGAACATCTGAATGATTCAGAGGAGAACTGGGTGAAAGTGTTGTGGTCAGATGAGACCAAAATTGAGCTCTTTGGCATCAATTCAACTCGCCGTGTTTGGAGGAGGAGGAATGCTGTCTATGACCCCATGAACACCATCCCCACTGTCAAACATAGAGGTGGAAACATTATGCTTTGGGGGTGTTTTTCTGCTAAGGGGACAGGACAACTTCACCGCATCAAAGGGACGATGGACGGGGCCATGTACCGTCAAATCTTGGGTGAGAACCTCCTTCCCTCAGCCAGGGCATTGAAAATGGGTCGTGGATGGGTATTCCAGCATGACAATGACCCAAAACACACGGCCAAGGCAATAAAGGAGTGGCTCAAGAAGAAGTACATTAATGTCCTGGAATGGCCTAGCCAGCCATAGAAAATCTGTGGAGGGAGCTGAAGGATTGAGTTGCCAAACGTCAGCCTCGAAACCTTAATGACTTGGAAAAGATCTGCAAAGAGGAGTGGGAACAAAATCCCTCCTGAGATGTGTGCAAACCTGGTGGCCAACTACAAGAAACGTCTGACCTCTGTGATTGCCAACAAGGGTTTTGCCACCAAGTACTAAGTCATGTTTTGCAGAGGGGTCAAATACTTATTTCCCTCATTAAAATGCAAATCAATTTATAACATTTTTGACATGTGTTTTTCTGGATTTTTTTGTTGTTATTCTGCCTCTCACTGTTCAAATAAACCTACCATTAAAATTATAGACTGATCATTTCTTTGTCAGTGGGCAAACGTACAAAATCAGCAGGGGATCAAATACTTTTTTCCCTCACTGTAAGCATTGAATGAATGCTGAACAGTGCTGACGGATGCCGTATTATCATATACAGGCTCATTTATTCTTGGCTTTGGCTAAGAAGTGTGTGTGTGTGTCTGAGTACTACAGAGGCGTTGGCTGGTGAGGATGTTAGTAGTCAGTATGCTAATGACAGGCGCTCTGCTGCTGGGTGTTTCAGCTCTCTACACATACAGTGGGGGAAAAAAGTATTTAGTCAGCCACCAATTGTGCAAGTTCTCCCACTTAAAAAGATGAGTGGCCTGTAATTTTCATCATAGGTACACGTCAACTATGACAGACAAAATGAGATTTTTTTTCTCCAGAAAATCACATTGTAGGATTTTTAATGAATTTATTTGCAAATTATGGTGGAAAATAAGTATTTGGTCAATAACAAAAGTTTCTCAATACTTTGTTATATACCCTTTGTTGGCAATGACACAGGTCAAACGTTTTCTGTAAGTCTTCACAAGGTTTTCACACACTTGCTGGTATTTTGGCCCATTCCTCCATGCAGATCTCCTCTAGAGCAGTGATGTTTTGGGGCTGTCGCTGGGCAACACGGACTTTCAACTCCCTCCAAAGATGTTCTATGGGGTTGAGATCTGGAGACTGGCTAGGCCACTCCAGGACCTTGAAATGCTTCTTACGAAGCCACTCCTTCGTTGCCCGGGCGGTGTGTTTGGGATCATTGTCATGCTGAAAGACCCAGCCACGTTTCATCTTCAATGCCCTTGCTGATGGAAGGAGGTTTTCACTCAAATCTCACGATACATGGCCCCATTCATTCTTTCCTTTACACGGATCAGTCGTCCTGGTCCCTTTGCAGAAAAAACAGCCCCAAAGCATGATGTTTCCACCCCCATGCTTCACAGTAGGTATGGTGTTCTTTGGATGCAACTCAGCATTCTTTGTCCTCCAAACACGACGAGTTGAGTTTTTACCAAAAAGTTCTATTTTGGTTTCATCTGACCATATAACATTCTCCCAATCCTCTTCTGGATCATCCAAATGCACTCTAGCAAACTTCAGACGGGCCTGGACATGTACTGGCTTAAGCAGGGGGACACGTCTTGCACTGCAGGATTTGAGTCCCTGGCGACGTAGTGTGTTACTGATGGTAGGCTTTGTTACTTTGGTCCCAGCTCTCTGCAGGTCATTCACTAGGTCCCCCCGAGATGAGGACCAAGGCGCAGCGTTGCAGGCAAACATACTCTTTATTTAGCGATTATACGACAAAATAAACAAACGATAACGTGACAGTTCACGGTCTAACACAAACCAACTAGAAACAAGATCCCACAAACACTAAGGGAAACAGACTGTTTAAATATGGCTCCCAATCAGAGACAACCAGCAACAGCTGACACTCGTTGCCTCTGATTGGGAGCCACTCTGGCCAACATAGAAAAGCAACAACTAGATAAACAAATGAAACGCACACCCTGGCTCAACATACAAGTGTCCCCAGAGCCAGGGCGTGACAGTACCCCCCCCCTAAAGGCGCGGACTCCGACCGCGTCAACTAAATACCACAGGGGAGGGACCGGGTGGGCACTCCGCCTTGGCGGCGGATCCGGCTCCGGGCCTGATCCCCACTCCCTCTCCAACCCCCCAAAGTACCCCTGGTCCGGTCTGGCCCCGCTGACCGGAGCTGGACTGCACACTGGTGGAGCGGATTGCTCTAGCTCCGGCGTGAAGCAGCTGACCGGTGCCAGACCAGGCACCGGTGGAACAGGCACGGGCCGTGCTGGATTGACGACGCGTACCATAGGCTTGGTGCGGGGAGCAGGAGCGGGCCGGACCGGACTGGCGACGCACACCACTGGCTTGGTGTGGGGAGCAGGAGCGGACCGGACCGGGCTGGCGACGTGCACCATAGGCTCGGTGCGGGGAGCAGGAACAGGCCGGGCCGGGCTGGCGACGCGCACTATAGGCTCGGTGCGGGGAGCAGGAACAGGCCGGGCCGGGCTGGCGACGCGCACCACAGGCTCGATGCGAGGAACAGGAACAGGCCAGACCGTACTGGGGACACACACCACTGGCCCTATGCAGGGATCAGGAACGGGCCGGACCGGACTGGTAACACACCCCAGTACCTCTCGCCGTGCCTCCACACTTTCCCTCTCCTCTGTGACCAGTGGCCCCCTTAACCTGGCGGCCTCCTCTGCACACCCGCTGGACCGCTCCATCGCGGCCTCCTGCTGCCCCGTCGTCCCCGGCGTGAGCCCCCCCCTAAAAAATTTCTGGGGGTCTCTCCTCCCCGTGGGCCAGGCCTCTATAGTTCTCGCCCAACTCTCGCTCTTCTGCTTCCAACTCCAGCCATTCTGCTCTTCATTTGGCTTGACCCAGTCGAGACTCTTCCTCCACTGTTCCCAAGTCCACCCTCTCTGCTCTTCACTAGGCTTGACCCAGTCGAGGCTGCCACGGAGATCTGCTAGCGATTCCCCTGGCGATGGCTCCTGGACACGCTGCTTGGTCCAGTTTTGGTGGGATCTTCTGTCACGGTCGTCGGGAACAGAGGAGGACCAAGGCGCAGCGTTGCAGGCAAACATACTCTTTATTTAGCGATATTATGACAAAATAAACAAAACGATAACGTGACAGTTCACGGTCTAACACAAACCAACTAGAAACAAGATCCCACAACAACTGTGGGAAAACAGACTGTTTAAATATGGCTCCCAATCAGAGACAACCAGCAACAGCTGACACTTGTTGCCTCTGATTGGGAGCCACTCTGGCCAACATAGAAAAGCAACAACTAGATAAACAAATGAAACGCACACCCTGGCTCAACATACAAGTGTCCCCAGAGCCAGGGCGTGACACCCGGTGTGGTTCTGGGATTTTTGCTCACCGTTCTTGTGATCATTTTGACCCCACACAGTGAGATCTTGCGTGGAGCCCCAGATCGAGGGAGATTATCAGTGGTGGTGTATGTCTTCCATTTCCTAATAATTGCTCCCACAGTTGATTTCTTGAAACCAAGCTGCTTATCTATTGCAGATTCAGTCTTCCCAGCCTGGTGCAGGTCTACAATTTTGTTTCTGGTGTCCTTTGACAGCTCTTTGGTCTTGGACATAGTGGAGTTTGGAGTGTGACTGTTTGCGGTTGTGGACAGGTGTCTTTTATACTGATAACATGTTCAAACAGGTGCCATTAATACAGGTAACGAGTGGAGGACAGAGGAGCCTCTTAAAGAAGAAGTTACAGGTCTGTGAGAGCCAGAAATCTTGCTTGTTTGTAGGTGACCAAATACTTATTTTCCACCATAATTTGCAAATAAATTCATTAAAAATCCTACAATGTGATTTTCTGGATTTTTTTTCTCAATTTGTCTGTCATAGTGGACGTGTACCTATGATGAAAATTACAGGCCTCTCTCATCTTTTTAAGTGGGAGAACTTGCACAATTGGTGGCTGACTAAATACTTTTTTCCCCCACTGTACTGTGTGTGAGAGAGAGCGGGGGAAAGAGGGAGAGCGAGAGAGACAAAATAGTGTGAAAGTTGACTTTGACAATACCACTGGGTATGCAAATCAACTGGGTTTCTCTGTAAAAAAAAGAAAAAGCGATTTAAAAAGTGTCCGAATTTTTCAATTGCGGTGTGACGCCATCCTATTTCAGAGCTGGAGGGGTTTGGAACTCTCTCCCAGTATCTGACCTACTTTCCTTCTCATGAGACTGAACTGATCATTCATGTGCCCCAGGCCACACACACACACACACACACAAACACAGAGTCAAACACAGAGTCAAACACAGAGTCAAACACTCACTTCACCCTCATGGTTGGCTAACTGGCCAGTCTAAGTAGAGCGAGAGAAGGTTGAAAAGTCAAATGTTCCCTGCACTAGTAGCCACAACTACACTGTCGGGTGTGCTTTACTTTGTACCAGCATGAACACGGTCGGAATGATGGTTCTGACAGGCTGAATCGAATGCATGTATTGGTCTGGGTCGCATTCATTAGTGCACTGCACACCGTAGCAAAATGCTTTGCAGCGGAAAACAAGCATTTCTCAAGTACAGCTAGTTCCTCCCCGTTTTGGTCCGTTATGTTCGTTTGGTGTCTGGTGAATAAGACCTGGTCTGTGTGTGACATAGATTCACTGTAATCTCAGTGTGAGACCTTGATGTCAGTCACTCTATTTGTGACAGAAAGTGGATACACCCCGACGCCTAATAGTAGATCTGAATACACATTACCATTGATGTAGCCGAAATGCTACATTTTTACTTGGCTCTAGTCGAATGCTAGTCTAATACTAATTGTAGACAACGACCCCTGTTACCTACTCTATCATTATTGTCTGTCAATAGGTTAGTAATTGAACCCCATACACAGGCTGTGTACCAAATGACACCCTATTCCCAATCTAGTGTCACTACTTTTGACTGAATGCAGCTCCAGTCAGTCCGTTGATTGATTGGTGTTGTATAGAACTGAAGATAGGTGATGGATGGGTGATCCATAGAAATACAATGAGGTGATCTACCATTTGGCTGGGACTCGTCCCTAATTTCAACGGAGGGCTAAAGGCAAGAGCAGTGAATAATTGAAGAACAGCCCTAGTCTAGTCTTACACAGCACAGCGTTGCTCTCTCCCTCCCAGTTCTCTATAGCTTTTAGGTCTTTCTTAGGTCTCCATGGAGAATGTTTAGGTGAAGTGTGTGTGGCGGTCAAATTTAGTCCATTTTAGCAGTGAATGTAAACAGGCCTATTATTATCAATATTATATTTGCATTGTGAAAAGTGATGTAAAATTGTGTATTACACCTTTTAATTCTCCCAACGTATTATTTTTATATATATATAAAAACAAAACATTACAAAAAATTGCGGACCACCTGCAGTACCCCGGACCACAAGTTGAAAACCGCTGGTCTAGAGCAAATGTTAATGTAGACAAATCTCATTAACAAGTGCTGAGGCTCAGGTGACCTGAGTGACACGGGGTACAGTTTCACCTGTTCCTCAGCAGACTTTTTTTCTTCCTCTCTTGAAATGGCCGGCACACAGGAGCAGAGCTGTGTACAGGAAATGGAGGCAGAAAACCGGCCTCCCTGATAGCTCGGGCTCACTCACACATCACACGGAAACTCGAACACATACTCTAAAAGCTCACACACTTTCATCAAACACTCGCTCACACACACATATACATACATACATACACACACACCTAGGCTAACGCTAACTCCCTTCAAGTGTAGCTGAGCTAGGTTGCTCAGCGAGCATTTTTATGTATTTATTTTTATTTCACCTTTATTTAACCAGGTAAGCCAGTTGAGAACAAGTTCTCATTTACAACTGCGACCTGGCCAAGATAAAGCAAAGCAGTGCGATTAAAAACAACACAGAGTTACATATGGAATAAACAAAAACGTACAGTCAATAACACAATAGAAAATAGAAAATCGATATACAGTGTGTGCAAATGTAGTAAGTTATGGAGGTAAGGCAATAAATAGGCCATAGTGCAAAATAATTACAATTTAGTATTAACACTGGAGTGATAGAAGTGCAGAAGATGATGTGCAAATAGAGATACTGGGGTGCAAATGAGCAAAATAAATAACAATGTAAATAACAATATGGGGATGAGGTAGTTGGGTGGGCTAATTACAGATGGGCTATGTACAGGTACAGTGATAGGTAAGCTGCTCTGACAACTGATGCTTAAAGTTAATGAGGGAGATAAGTGTCTCCAGCTTCAGAGATTTTTGTAGTTTGTTCCAGTCATTTGCAGCAGAGGACTGGAAGGAATGGCGGCCAAAGGAGGTGTTGGCTTTGGGGATGACCAGTGAGATATACCTGCTGGAACGCATACTACGGGTGGGTTTTGCTATGGTGACCAATGAGCTAAGATAAGGCGGGGATTTGCCTAGGAGTGATTTATAGATGACCTGGAGCCAGTGGGTTTGGCGACGAATATGTAGTGAGGGCCAGCCAACGAGAGCGTACAGGTCACAATGGTGGGTAGTATATGGGGCTTTGGTGACGACAACATTGCGTGATAAGTGACCTCGCATGAGACTGAAAGACTAGTGTTGACTCTTAGATCTAGGCCTACCATTTGGGATTGCGCTCCATGAGCTAACACAGTCTTATGTCTTGCGTGTCGTGATGACAAGCCGGGGTTCAGTACCCGTGTTGTTAGGCTCTACAAGGGTAGAATTTCTCTCTCTCTCGCTCCTTCACTCTCTCTCTCTCGCTCTCCCCGTTAGGCTATACAAGGGAAGAATTGCTCACTCTCTCTCTCTCTCTCTCCCGCTTCTCTCTCTCCTCTTCCTCTCTAGTGATGTGTCTCTGTTCTTGTCCCAGATTCTGCAGTAATAAGCCCAGCAGAACTCAGCACTTTCCTAATGAATCGCTCCAGTCTGAGGATGAGTCAGTACAGGGATCTGGATCTTATGATCCTATCTAATGGAAGGGCTCTTCATGTGTGATGCTTTACAAATGCATTTTCCCTCTTTCTCCCCTCTCCTCTTTCCCTCTCTCTGCTGTTCTCTCTCCCCTCCTCTCCCATCTTCCTGTTCTTTCATATCTCCTCCCCTCTCCCATCTTCCTCTTCTTTAATCTCTCCTCCCCTCTCCCATCTTCCCCTCCTCTTTCCCCCCTTCTCTTCTCTCCTCAGGCGAGGGCTGAACCCACCCCACAGAGTGAAGTCCATCTCCATGACGACCTTCACGCAACCGGAAATCGAGTTCCTCCAGAAACACGGCAATGAGGTAGGTCGGCATAGCGACCGGGCCCCACAGACCTCCCAGGACTGTTGTCAACATGGCTGCCTGGGTCGTATACACTAGGAACCAAAGGGAAGCAAACAGGCCAAAATGAAACGCTAGTTTTTGTTTTCTGTTGTCACTGTCCAGCTCTTCCAGTTCTTAGCACCCCGATGGAGACTAGAATGCAGAAATACATAGGTTTATAATGATAAAGAAGTGTTTTTCAAACCTGGTCCCAGATCTGTTTATGCTCTCTTGCTGTCTTCTATGCTCATTGTGATGGCCAGACACACAAACAGATCTGTGACCAGGCTAGTAGCCTATGTTTCTATTCAACTTCCATTGTCCTCCAAGCTAGGCCACCTTTCGTATGTCCACCTCTTAATCAATCAGTCTAAGGAGCGCTGGCTGGCTGGCTGGCTGGCTGGCTGACTCCTTGCCCTCAATGCCCTGAGACTTATTCTAACCCCAGATCATGGAATTCCATACTTTGTGTTCCATATGGCCGGCCTCACCCTTTCCCCCTTTTGGTTTTGGGTGACATTCCACTGATATTTCCCCTAATCCTGTAAAGTGGGATTTGTGTGCTGACCGGGTGGCCACGGCACAACAGACACAGAGCAGCTCTTTCAGGAGATGTCGCTCTGATGCTCTCTCATGCGTTCCATGCGTCTGGTTATTTATTTAGTTGGCTCTGACCCACACACACACACACACACACACACACACACACACACACACACACACACTTTAATCTGCCAAGGATTCCGAATTGGAGTAATGAGCTTCTGCTAGATGATATGGGTGGTAGTGGTACAAAACTGAACCTGTGCTTGTCCTTGATGCTGTTCTGCAGGCTATGTGTGTCAGGTGCTTTATGTGAGAAGAATATTCTAGGCCTATTGGAAACATCGATACAAGCCTTGGAGGACATGCATTATCTTCAGCCTTGACTTTATTGTCTCCTGCTGTCTGTCCTCTTTTTATATATAGTTTGTCAGTTTGTCTCTCTCTCTCTCTCTCTGTCTCTCTCTTTCGCTCTCTGTCTGTCTGTCTGTCTCTATGATTCAGTATGTATTCTGTTTGTCTGCTTCTAATTGTAAAATCCTAGGTGTCCATGTGTACTGTAAAATAATTTTGCACTTGGCAAGTTGGCTGTAGATCTCTCCATTTCCGGGCTCCCAAGAGACACCCTGGAATGTTCCTGAATGTCCTACATTCTGATGCTGCTCTCTAGGCCTGGAAGTGTTGAAGGGTTTTCTCTCTCTTTCATGTTTGTATTTTTCCTCTGTAAAGGGGATGAACCACATCTTCTGATTTGCCTGTGACTTTTATTCTCCTTACAATTTTCACCAAACCTGTTTTTCTGCTGTCTCTGTCCGTCCCCTCTCTCCTATCTTCTCTAGTCATGCAAACAGATATGGCTGGGGCTTTACGACGACAGAACCACTTCCATACCGGATTTCAGAGAACCCCAGAAAGTCAAGGAGTTCCTTCAGGAGAAATACGAGAAGAAGAGATGGTGAGCGGCTGCTGTAGAGTCCATAGGGCTCTGGTCAAAAGGAGTGCACTAAAAAGGGAGTAGGGTGCCATTTGGGACCCTTCTCTCCACTGCATGAGAAATCCCTAGAGACGGGCAGCTCACTGCAGTTGGCCCTCGAGCAGCAAGGCACTTTGCATCAGTAACAACCCAGGCGTATTTAGTGGATGATATCTAGGTTACTGTATGCGTTAGTTGGAATCTAAAAGGAAAGTATAATATTTACACACACCTAATGCTGCGTTTAGACAATGGACGCAAAAACCGTCATACCAGTCGGCATAGCGGGACAAGAAAACAAGGAAGAGGGTGACGGCAAAAGCAAGCCTGAACGACGGTATGCGTTGCTATGGTGATATCAGTAAACAAACAAGTGCAAATCAACATCCGGTTGGAAACAAGTCCTGTTTACCGTGGCGGCTGACGGCATTCACCTCCAGCCTCAACGGCATTTACTGTCGTGCTCTCATTGAAAACAATGACATCCGGTTTGCTGTCTACATCATACCATCTAAACGCAGCATAAATGTTCTCACAGGAGCAGCCAATCTCTTTGCTTTCAATTAATGTTCAGGACCTGTATGCACAAATAGGAGTGCTGATCTAGGATCAGGTCCCCCCTGTCCATATACTCGTATTCATTATGATCCTAGATCAGCACTCTTACTCTGAGATGCTGGGTTATAGGAGTCCATTTGAATTCAAGCCTGTGTTGCTGTGTAACCAATTGAACACCATTGTTGTTGTGATTTAGGTTTGTTCCCCCGGAGCAGGCCAAAGTGGTGGCTTCGGTCCATGCCTCCATCTCAGGCTCGTCAGCCAGCAGCACCAGCAGCACCCCCGAGGTCCGACCCCTCAAAACCCTGCTGGGGGAGTCGGCCCCCACCCTGCACCTCAACAAGCACACGCCCAGTCAGGTAAGACACACTGGTTACTCAGCTGGCTGATAACAGGCCATACAACGTTTTCCCTGACCTGAAGTAGGGCCCAGGGAGTTTTTCCTGGTCAGATCATGTATTCAGGAGACCCTTCTGGCTCTAGTAGTCAAAACATATATATTTTTGAGTTGCTTTCAATAAGATAGCCTGTGAGAAGTGTGGATATCCAGGTGAACTATTTCTGCATGGTTGAGGTGTCCGTCTCTCTGTTAGTTAACTGGGTCATATTTAGCACGAAATGGAGTGAAACGGAGGTTCCATCCGAACTTCTGTCCAATAAGAAACGCCCATTTTTGTTTTCTGTTGCAAAGCGTTTTGCTACGGCATGCCCTAATGAACACAGCCCTGTTGGCTCTCTGTAGTCTCCGGTGGGGAGTCGTGCAGCCCAGGCCCTTCAGCTGAGCCAGCAGCAGCAGTTCCACGACAAGAAGTTTGACCTCCTCAGCGACCTGGGAGGAGACATCTTCGCCACTCCGCCCCCAGATGGCAGCAGGCTCGGCGGCCAACTTTGCCAACTTTGCACATTTCAACAGTCACCCAGGTAAGGAGGAGTGGCACGAGCTGCACCGGTCCCTGGAGCGGTCCTTACACCCCTGGGCACAGTGGTTACATCTACTGCTTAGTGCATAGACTTCATTGGTCAATGATACTTATACTCAATGATACATTTCCTGAAGAATATTTGGGTGCTTGCTTCAGCTGTCCAAAAGTGTGTTTTATGGCAGTGGAAGAAACTTTAGAGGCATTTCGACTTCCTTAATTTCAAGAGTATGGACCTTCACTTTTTCTTACCACACTTTATGTTTTTCATATCAAGAAACAGACATACACATATGAACAACAACTTACACACAAACAACGACTACATCTCATTGCCCAGACCCGCATGCTCACACCCCCCTCATTGATTTTAAATAATTAAAATGGTTGATTTCCAAGTACCTTAACCCCCTCATTGTCCATCACACTGGTCTATGTAAAGCATCGCAAGACACTGGAATTCTCATATGGCTATGGGCGGTCAGTTCCTTGGTTACTAATGAGGCCAACGTAAAGCTGTTTGCTCAGAGAATAATGTTTTCTCATCCTCAAAGAGCCATAAAGTTATACCTTAATGTAGTGTGGACAGAAAGGCAGCACCAGGTAAACCCACATGAGGCTTAAAGACACACACACTCTAAAAATACATCACAATTTGATACTTAAAATAGTATTCATTTTAGAAAATAGACAATAACCTACACACTTATCAAACGTTCTATACCTATCAATCCTTTCCTTTCCTATCTTTCTACTACTTAACCAAAATACATCCGAGATTCACAGGAAGCCCATCTCTGCAGCAATCTCCCAACACCCCCAGAATAGCTTCCAGTTTCTCCATCTCTTTATCCTCACGTTCCTGTAGAACTCCACCTTGTCATCTCCATGTGCTTGTGGAACAGATGTTGTTTCTCCTGCTCATGCAGGTGCTGGTTGTGGTAGCAGAAGCTGGCCATGTTAAGGGACCGGGACTTCCAGTAATACTCAAAATGACAGAGTAACTCGGGAGGATCTGACCTAAAGTCACAATAAAACTAATTCCATGTATCTACATGGAATTAGAGAAATACTCAATAAGCCAAATCAAAAACAGAAATGATCAAAATCATGGGAAGAATGCAGTATTTGATGCTTACCGTTGTTGGTGGAATTTGAAGTTCTTGCAGGGAGATACTGACGTCTCTGTGCCATACATGGTAGGGACTGGTGAAATTGCTGGTTATTGAAGTAAATGTATAAAACATTTATAATCTTCGATAGCAGAAGCAAGTCACACGTCTAGTCTTGAGGTTGATGCAACCAAGGGTGTGTTCGTAAATTCAATCTGGAGTGCCAGAGTGCGCTCAGAGTTTACTGACACCGGCCATATTCAACGGGTGTTGAACGTTCGTAAATTCATCAGTTATTCTGCGCTCTGGCACACTCAGACGAGAGTGCTCTGAAATCGAAGTAGATAGCCAGAATGAATTTACGAACGCACCCCAAAACTGAGTTCTAAATCAACACTGTTACTCTTACCAGCCAAACATTCTAAATTCAAACATTCTACCATAGAGATCCTATTAAATGACTAATTCTATGCATTCTACCAACTTTGCTTTGGTTGATTTATTATTTTTATTATTCAGAATTGCCATGACGATGAGAGAGTGAAATGAATGGATGTACTGTGTGCTTAATTTAAAATCTGTTTTACATTGAACCCAGTGGCAGACACACACACACACACACACACACACACACTAGAAGGTCAGGGCAGTGCCCTATAGAAGAAGTTGGACCTGTCATCATCACTATCATTGTTTGTTTGTCATTGTCATCTGGTGCCAGTCTGTCATTAGCTCCATATAGTTTAGTTCCATATCCCTCAATGTGTCATTTCTGTCGTTTCATCCCAAATGGCACCTTCTACCCTATTTAGTGCACTACTTTTGACCAGGGCTCTTGTCAAAAGTAGTGCACTATAGGAATAGGGTGCTATTTGGGATGCTGCCTGTGTCATGTGTGACCATTAATCATCTCATTCATTGTGTCCTGTTTTGTTTGTCCTTTTTGATTTTATGTGCGTCTGACCCTCGTACAAAGCTCCAGCTGCTCAGAACGCAAACGCAGACTTTGCTAACTTTGATGCGTTTGGGAGCACGGCGGTGGGTCCATCGGGTGCTTTCCCCTCTGCACCCCAAGCCCCCTTCCAGACCTCACGTACAGGTAGAGCATGTTCCATTCACCTGTCATGGCCTGTCTCTATCTCACACACGCTCACATTTTCAACAGGTCACTGTTAGACTTCCTCCTTTCCCAGAGGCGCTCTCTCTCTCTCTGTTACACTCTCACATCAGTTCACTCTCACTCCTACTTGTCATGTGTTTTGTGTCCATTTTGTCTGTTGTAGTTTATGTTAGGAGACGTCTCCATATGATTTGTCTACTGTCTTTATCTGTCCCATGTGTTTGTCTGTCACTCACTCACTGTCTCTCCTCCCCATTCTCAAAGTCCTGGTCCATGGCTCCATCTCCGCTCCACTCATTTCATCACTCTCATTGGCTCTGTATTTGCTAGTTGGCTTGCTGGCTGCTCAAGGCACACACACTCACTCACTGGCTAGTTTTCCCCACCCACAGTCAAGGGAATTAGATTTTGATGTACCACACCGCCCTCTGCTGGAGACTAATGCCTGCAGTCTGCAGATGACCTCTTGACTTCTACGCAGCAGTGGATGGGAATGCACTGCTCTCTGGGTGCATCGAAACACTCTACAGTGGCATCCTCTCCTTGTCACCTTTCCTTCATCCGTAACTGATCTGAAAGGATCGAACAAAAGTACAGTTAGGCCTCTATCTGTCATGTCTGCTTTCACCTATCCTATATGTTTTCAGATCTGTGCGGAGCGCAGATGAGGAGACGAGGAGAGGAAACCACTTTAGACTATTGAGATGCAACCCCCCCTCTCTCTCAAGGCTCCTCCTGCTCTCACTCACATTGACCACCATGCTGCCTGGCCTGGCCTCTTCTTTCACACTGACCACCATGCTGCCTGGCCTCTTCTTTCACACTGACTCCATTCGCTCTGTTATGATTTTGTTTTGCTTTTGGGTGATGTTTTCCCAGTTTTGGTTTATATTTCTTCTTTTTTTTTGACCCTGTCTCTCTGGTACTCATTTCACCCCGCCTGTTTTGGCTGCCAGCGTTCATGTCCCTCTCATCCAGCCGCAGTGTGGGTGAGTTTGCCACCGCTGGCACTGCTCTACCATACCCAGGTGCAGGTGCTCACAGTAAGTTCTCTCCATCTCACTGGGCTCAGCCTCTAGCTAACACCTTAACTGCCCTTTCTCCCCTCTGTCTGTCTGGTAGGCTCGAGGGGTTTTCCCATATCAATGTCTATGGTTGTTCCTGTTGATGTGTGTGTGCCTGTCTGTGGATGCGTGTGTTGTATGCTCTTTGATGTTTGCTGACCTGTTCATATCCAGAAGTACAGGGCCATTAGTGCAAAATAACATGATGTCATGCAGTCTAAACTGCAGCCAGCTATTGAAAGAAAAGATGGCCAACTATTACCTCGGCCTCTGGATATTCATCTAAAATCTAAAGATATTTCTCCACATATGTATTGTACTAAGATCTTGTAAGGGTGTAGGTAATTCAGTAATTCACTGTAGGTGTATTCATTTGTCAGACAGGAGAGTAGACAGGATTTCTTATTCCATAGCAACAGTCAGGTTCTACCCTCAAACCACTCCCAGTGAAGTAATGCTTCTTCTCTTCCTTTACCTCAACTCTCACTCTGTTTCCTCAGACAGTGACCAACCTCAGTCTCTGTGCCTAACTAACCCTCAGGGTAAGATGATTGTTAAGAAAGGCAACAATCATCCTACAAACACACATGAAGCCACTGTGTGGCTCTTGTGACAGTCAGAGTAAGGACCATGACTGCTGTTGGGCTCATTTCAAGTCTGACACAGTTGACTGTTATACTACTCGACAGTATGATGCAGATCCTTTCCATTGATTTCAGCTCAGATGACGCACAGTGGTGTTATAAATTAAAGATGACTCTGCTGTACTCTGTAGATGCTGCCTGTATCCAGTAGCACACAGTGTTCAATCCAGCCCCCCAGATTTACGCTGCACAGTCAGAAACACACACACACACCCAGGCCCCTCTTGTGTGACTCCTCTCTGTCATCTCTCTCTCTCTCTCTCGCAGGTAGCACGTCCTCGGGGGGCCTAGCTAACACTAGCAATTTAGCTAATTTTGACCACTTCCCCAAATCCTGTAGCGCTGACATTGGATGCTTCAGTTCCTCTTCCCAGTCCCAGAGCCAGAGTTACTCCTCCACTGCAGGAGCGCCCAATGGGCTGGTAGACAGATACAGCGGCACTACTAGCGTCCCCACCGATAGATACGCAGCTCTGGCTGACCTGGATACCATCTTTAGCTCTGCCAAAACGGAGCAAGGTAACCCTCTCCATGCTGCGAGCCAGCCTCCACTCTGTTTCGCAGACTTCAAGATGCGTAGAGTAGAGTGAGATTGCTATCGGGTTGGGGATGATGCGCTCATGCATGGTGTAGAATAGATAAAGTCCGGGTCCCATTCTTTCTGAACCAGCAGGTACAGTGGGTCCTCATTTTAAAAGTTGCGTCATACCACAGCACAGCTTGCGGAATGGTATGGCATGTTGGAGTGCATGACGTCATAGTATTTTACTGTCAAAATATGTTTATCTAGAATAACTGCAGCTCCATGCCTACTGATGGCAATCAGCAAATACCCATTTGGGGAAAATATCCTTTCTATTTTAGTCTGTTATATTCCATCATATTCATGTTGTAAAGGGATGTGGAATATAAGCATGTGATGTCTGCTAAATGTACAAGTTAATTTCATTGACATGGCGCCGCCATAGCCTCAGCGACTATAGCACAGATAAATACATCTTAAATCATGCTATTCTGTTCTTTTGAAATAAATTGTCTTAGTACCATGTTTTTTTTATGACCTCCCTAAATAAAATATTAATAGATTTCTTTGTGATTGTGTATGTTACATTGATTTATTATACAATCTCTCCCTGCTGTGTGTAGGAGACGGATGGAGTTACTAGCTTCTACAGTACCCTCCTGGCCTCCCTGTGTTGTGAACCAGCCTGTGTGTGTTTTCAGGAGGTAGCGTCCCTAGTGGGGTCCCGGGCTCTCTCCCCCCGGGGACGTCGGCAGGACTGCGTCACCCCCAGAGTCAGCTGACGGGTACGTCGGCGGCAGACCGCTACGCCGCGCTGGCCGAGCTGGACAACGTGTTCGGCTCGTCGGCCCCCGCCACCAGCGTCTACAACACCATCAGCACTTCTCAAGGGTACGAGAACACACCATCAGATGAATTCCCCCTCTTTCCATTGCCCTCCAGTCTATGCCTAGAGTTCTTTCTTTCTGTCTCTCTCATATTATCATCTTTGTAAATATATAAATCAACTTTCTTGTTATCAACAAGTAGGTCTATCTTTCAAAATGATACTCAGCCCTCTCGCCTCTGTCACTGGTTGCATCTCAAATCACACCCTATTCTCTAAAAGGGCACTACTTTTAGCACTACTGCTAGGGACCATATAGGTAATATGCTGTCATTTGGGATGCCTCTGTCATGGTGAGTCCATGTGGTCACTAACGAGTGTTGTGTTGTGTCCCAGGGGGATGTTTGGGCCTGTGACAGGAGTCTCGTCAGCCCAGGCACAACAATGCATGTCCAGCATGCCCCAGGGTTTTGGAGGTGAGTTTCCATTCGCTACCCTTTCCCCCTTAGTGTGCACTACACTAGTTAACTTACCCCGTGGGTTTAAAAACATTGGATAGGTGTAAGCATTGGCTATAGGGAGTTTTCTTCATATTTCACTCACTGTCTTGCGTCTATTACTTTTCAATCCATGAGGGGGAGTGAACGAGTGCACGCTTCGGGGAGAAGGGGGATGGATTAAAATGAGACCGCAACCCATTTCTCCAGAGCTGAAGTAGACTTAGCTACTCAGAGATGAACTAATATGAGTTTGATGTCTCCTCTTCCCTTCTGCCAGGTCCGTCAACAAACCCCTTTGCTGCTGCAGTGGTTGCCCCGGCGACAGCCACCACCAACCCCTTCCAGAGCAACGGGAGAGCAGCGGCCATGGCAGCAGCAGGTGGGGACACGCCACGGATGTCTTGCATACCCAATGTACTTGAAACTAAAGCCATAGGCTATGAACCAAATCATTCTTGCCTACTATTTACAAAAATTCTATACTATGTACTAACCATACTACATACTGTTTATAACATACTGTTCAGTAAAAATGTATGCAGTAAGCAACAGATATCAACATACAGTGGGGAGAACAAGTATTTGATACACTGCCGATTTTGCAGGTTTTCCTACTTACAAAGCATGTAGAGGTCTGTAATTTTTATCATAGGTACACTTCAACTGTGAGAGACGGAATCTAAAACAAAAATCCAGAAAATCACATTTGTATGATTTTTAAGTAATTAATTTGCATTTTATTGCATGACATAAGTATTTGATACATCAGAAAAGCAGAACTTAATATTTGGTACAGAAACATTTGTTTGCAATTAGAGATCATACATTTCCTGTAGGTCTTGACCAGGTTTGCACACACTGCAGCAGGGATTTTGGCCCACTCCTCCATACAGACCTTCTCCAGATCCTTCAGGTTTCGGGGCTGTCGCTGGGCAATACGGACGTTCAGCTCCCTCCAAAGATTTTCTATTGGGTTCAGGTCTGGAGACTGGCTAGGCCACTCCAAGACCTTGAAATGCCTCTTACGGAGCCACTCCTTAGTTGCCCTGGCTGTGTGTTTCGGGTCATTGTCATGCTGGAAGACCCAGCCACGACCCATCTTCAATGCTCTTACTGAGGGAAGGAGGTTGTTGGCCAAGATCACGCGATACATGGCCCCATCCATCCTCCCCTCAATACGGTGCAGTCGTCCTGTCCCCTTTGCAGAAAAGCATCCCCAAAGAAATGTTTCCAACTCCATGCTTCACGGTTGGGATGGTGTTCTTGGGGTTGTACTCATCCTTCTTCTTCCTCCAAACACGGCGAGTGGAGTTTAGACCAAAAAGCTCTATTTTTGTCTCATCAGACCACATGACCTTCTCCCATTCCTCCTCTGGATCATCAGATGGTCATTGGCAAACTTCAGACGGGCCTGGACATGCACTGGCTTGAGCAGGGGGACCTTTCGTGTGCTGCAGGATTTTAATCCATGACGGCGTAGTGTGTTACTAATGGTTTTCTTTGAGACTGTGGTCCCAGCTCTCTTCAGGTCATTGACCAGGTCCTGCCGTGTAGTTCTGGGCTGATCCCTCACCTTCCTCATGATCATTGATGCCCCACGAGGTGAGATCTTGCATGAAGCCCCAGACCGAGGGTGATTGACCGTCATCTTGAACTTTTTCCATTTTCTAATAATTGCACCAACAGTTGTTGCCTTCTCACCAAGCTGCTTGCCTATTGTCCTGTAGCCCATCCCAGCCTTGTGCAGGTCTACAATTCTATCCCTGATGTCCTTACACAGCTCTCTGGTCTTGGCCATTGTGGAGAGGTTGGAGTCTGTTTGATTGAGTGTGTGGACAGGTGTCTTTTATACAGGTAACGAGTTCAAACGTGCAGTTAATACAGGTAATGAGTGGAGAACAGGAGGGCTTCTTAAAGAAAAACTAACAGGTCTGTGAGAGCCGGAATTCTTACTGGTTGGTAGGTGATCAAATACTTATGTCATGCAATAAAATGCAAATTAATTACTTAAAAATCATACAATGTGATTTTCTGGATTTTTGTTTTAGATTCCGTCTCTCACAGTTGAAGTGTACCTATGATAAAAATTACAGACCTCTACATGCTTTGTAAGTAGGAAAACCTGCAAAATCGGCAGTGTATCAAATACTTGTTCTCCCCACTGTACTAGGCATGCATACTGAGAAGGAGTCATGTAATGCGCAATTGGGTTGTTCCGAGGTTAAATGCTGAAGACACATTTTAGTTGAATGTATTCAGTTGTACAGCTGACTAGGTATCCCTTTCCCTGCCATTCGTACATCACGTCTGATCACGTGGGAGTCTGAAAATACAATTATCTTCCTCAATAGCATGCAGCTAATTCGTACTAGATGAAGTACATCTCTGTGACTAAAGCTGATCTAACTATCAGTGGTTAGTGGCCATTTTGAGGTAGTTCAGAACAAAAACATGTTTCACAGATGGCAACTATTTTCCAAAGTCATGCTAAAATATCACATATTAACTGAGGCAGGTGATCATGAAAAAGCTTCTCTATGTAGCAAAATTCAAGGAATAGCCTAGTAGTCAATCGAAATCTCACAAGTCCATATTCTTAGATGACTGTGAACACCTGAAACCATGTGAGAGTGACCATGGTCACAGTGGTCATGGTCGTCAGAGGTCATAATGAGGTTATGAACCAGATGCCTTCACTTCATCGCTCAGCTAATTGTATTAATCTCTAAGTAAGTCTATTGCCGGTGGCTCGGTTGCTACGAGACGGCAGCATTATTTACTAACAATTGTCTGTAGCTAAATGAGGATATAGTCCAAGTAGTAATATTCTTACATAGACTAAATCGGAGAGACACTGATTGGGGACTGAGTGTTTCTGTAATGAGCGTGAAGGTGTGTGCGTACGTGTGTACGTGCAAATTATAATGGCTCTGTCTGATTGCTCTTGTGATGCTGGACAGGCCTGTTGGGGGCTCTGCATGGGCAGGGTTACCCTCCAGCCCACTTTGGTATGTCCCCTCCTCCTCCTCTTCCAGCTCACTCCTTTTCTCGCCCACTTTGGTATGTCCCCCCCCCCCCTGCCTCCATGTGTCTTGGCTGTGGCAGTGCTTCCTAGAGCTCCCCTGAGAGTCCTGTGACTGTCTCGCCGACTGTGCATGTGTTGTGTGCCCTGACCTCTGACCCCAGTACTGCTTCTACTGTATCTGTGAGTGTGGGGGTCCTGATGCCTCAGCTACCCTCACCAATCCCCCCCTGCCCTCACTCTTGCCCTCACTGACGCTCCCAGACTGTAGTGATGTGGCACCGCCGATTACCCCATCTTGCCCCCTGCCGGCCAAGAGAAATAGCCTAACTAACAGTCGTAGCTTTTCAGACTATAGCTGTTGGCAGTGTGTATGTCCTCCAGCAGAGCTCTGAGGTTATAAACGGGTGTTGAAAGGACATCAAACAGCCAGATAACCATTTAAGAGTATCCTTTAACTGCACAACCATCTTGACTGTAAGCTTCTTATCATTTTTCACCCTCCTGGATTCTGTACACTGCATTTGCTAAGAGTGCCTATACCCTGATTGATGTAGTACTGTAGCTGTGTGCTAAATGCTGGTTATGTTATGGATAGAGCTAGTCTCTGAGACTCACAAAGTAGTGTTTTTTGTTGTTGCTGTGTTTGTTTCTCTGTGTTTAAGTGTACATTGCTCAGTAAAGGTGTTTTAGTTCAGGTTGTGTGCCAATGTTAACCTGGCGTCAGGTGTGATTATAGCTTGACTAGGTAGGTAGGTAGGTAGGTAGGTGGTGGGTGGGTGGGTGGGTGTGTGTGTGTGTGTTTGCGCGTGCGAATATGTTTTGTAGTCTGCGTTAGCGGTAATTGTGTAGCGTAAGCTCTGTGTAACTGATGTGATATTGTGTAGATTGTGAGTGTCCTCTCCTCTCCCACCTATCTTGCAGCCACGTTTGGAACAGGCTCCATGAGCATGCCAGCCGGATTCGGGAACGCTGCTGCCTACAACCTCCCCACCAGCTTCAGTGGGACCTTCCAACAGCCCTTCCCTGGCCAGGCCTCCTTCCCCCAGCCTCCGGCCTACCCCCAGCAACCCAACGGTGTGTGTTGGTGTTTGCATGGGTGTATGTGTGCTTTGCATGAATTTGTGTGGTGTACCCCTTTCATTTAAACCTTTCTCTGGTCCACCAGGAGGGGGGTTTTCAGCCTATGGACAGACCAAGGCTGTGGTGACCCCCTTTGCACAGGCGATGGCCGCACACTCTAGTAACCCCTTCTTGGTGAGTGGGACCATCAGGTGGTTTTCAACCGAATGTCCACAGTCTCTATTTGATAAGACTTGTGTTAGTTTCACTGGTGGTGATTTAATGGCTTCCCGCCCTCCCTTTCTCCCTCTCTCTCTGTCTTTGTCGTCCTTCTAGGCGGGCGCCCCTTCAGGACACTACCCCTCAGGAAGCTCTTCAACCAATCCTTTCTTATAGCGCTGCTCCATCCAAACTTCCACCACTAGGGTGTTGTCAACTGCCGTGCTCCGCTCGCACCTCTTGCACTGTTTTGTTTCACAAGATGCTTTAAAAAGACAAACGCAATGTTTCTAAAACTGGTATTTTGTATTATGTTTTAAGAACAATGACAACAACAAAGTGACGTAACTGACACCGTCCATGGCAACAAAAATCTAAACAAGGTAAAGGTGTGTAGAGGGAAGGGGGGGTGTTAGGGGCGGCAGGAAGCCTAGCGGTTAAGTGCGTTGGATCAGTAACCGAAAGGTCGCTGGTTCGAATCCCCGAGCCGACTAGGTGAAAAATCTGTCTGTCCCCATGAGCAAGGCACTTAACCCTAATTGCTCGACCTGTAAGTTGCTCTGGATAAGAGCGTCTGCTAAATGACAAAAATGTAAATATATTAAAGGGGCGGGGTCTGCTCTCATCCTCCAGCTACCCTGTGAACTGGCCCAGCCTCAGCTGAGCCACATGTATATTCAAACTGGCTGATACTAAGTTATTGCAAAATAATCCGATTCATTACGCTGCAATTTTGTAAATATTTTTTTCTTAGTGGAAATTAGCTCTGTGCATATCAGTATTTGTACGTTTAACACGAGTTTAAGGGCAGAAATGTTATCTGGAAAAGCTGAGGACTACTTTGAGTTACTGTATTTGTAAAGAGGAACCAAAAGCATTTTGTGCCGCGTCATATCGGTAGGACTATTTTTACAGAGAAGAAGTGGAGAACATGCATTTCATCATTTATTACAGATGAGGGGGAGGAGTCTCTCTCCTCTTCTGTGATTGGCCCCGAGGGCAGAGGCTCCACCTGGAAGGGGATGGGCTCTCACCTGTCCTGCTGTCCAGGTGGTTTACCACAATATAGACTGAAGACCACTGACATTGGGTGTTAAAGAGATTTAAGTTAATGTGTGTGTGTATATATATATATATATATATATTAAAATGAATTTTAACTAAAAATAATGACCAAACCATGTCTTTGTATTGCTGCACTGTACATCTCCATTTTCATATAGAAATATTTTGTATATATATATAAAAATATTTATATCACTATGAAGAAAGTTACAGTCTGAATGTGGAGCTCTTACTCAGGAGTATGGCTGCTGGAACTTATCTATGGCAATAAACCATAGACTGTAAAAAATATCAAACAAACAGACCGGAATGTCATCGGTGTCTAATTCAGTAGGGCACAATGTACCAAAAGGTTTTGCAACGGAAAACTAAAATATGCTTTCTTTTTGGACACATTCAGGTAGAAACTCCCAGTTTCAAAACGTTTTCTCACATTCATGTGTGCCTACCGAACACGACCCAGGGCCCAGTGGTCAGTTTCTTCTGCTCAGAGTCTTTGTTCAGGGCAAGTGTCACTGTCTTTCAGACTTGGAGGCTGCTCCTCTGCAGTGGTGGAGTCTCTGTGGCTTTGCCGCACTCATAATCGTGTACACACCCCTCAGAAAGAAAATGACAGCGATGGCTGAGAAGTAGCTTCCATAAATGGTGAACTGCAAGAAAGAGTGGAGAGGTATAAAGCTTTTTCCTTACTCTTCAGTTGTAGGGCTAGCAAGCAGGTCTTATTATTGTCCTGTGACACTTGAGGTGTTAACTCACCTGTGGGATGATGCCCAATGGATGTGATGAAAGTCTGAAGGACCAAAGCCCCAAAATTGTTTGCTCCGAAGATCAGTGCAGTTTCTCAGTAGCAATTTGGAACCTGGAAGGAAAGAGGGCACATGTTTTTCCCTCTACCAAATATTAATGGGTCATTTCGTTACATTTCGGATCTAAAAAGGGGTCCACGTCCCAGGCCATTAGTTTTTTGAGATCCAGCTATATCCCACAATCTAAAATTAATATAATAAATAGATGAACACCATGGGGCCGATTCAGACCCAAATGATGCGCATGCAAATGGTTCTTTTCTCTACTCCACAGCCAGCTTTTCGTTCAGGATGGAGATCACAGAAATGTAGGTTTGGCAGAGGTGTCTACAGATATGCTGTATTCTGACCTTGGCTTAATTCCCTTATAATTCCAGCACCTTTACGCATGATGAAACGATGAATAACATTGAGCAACCTGTCTGTTCTAAGTGGAGCAACATCTAGGCCTACTTTATTTTTCCCAATAGAAATAACACCATTCTCCATGCACTGTAATTTACAAATTGATAAGTGCTAGGTAAATAAGTAAGTTGTTTGGATAAGGGGATTGTAAATATATTTTACCCTATGATCGCTGGAGACAAATGTAAAACCAGTCATATGGCAGAAAACTGAAGGATATCAACATATCAATTTTCCAACAGTGAGGTTTATGAAATGCTGACCTTATAACCTGCAGGGATGAATTTGGGAGACCCAAGCTATAGGCTTCTGTAGCCATGCGCAAATGACCGAGTTTATTTATGATTTCTAGAATGTTTTAATTATATGCCCAGACTTTTCACTGTATTTCTTTACAACTTGTATCGTGTTGAATATTAGCCACTATCGGTAGCCATCGTCAGGTATACCAATACATTTATAACTCACTTTAGTTTCTTTACATTTTGCATCATTCCATTCCATTGTTTGTTTACCTTTCATCTCTCACATTAGTGTGGTTGTTCCTGAGGATCGCTAACAATAGTGGATCATATTAGGCTAATGTATTACAAGCAATAATTTGGGACATGTAGCCTATTTGAATCATTATGGAACTCAGACCATATGTAGCTGTTTAAACCTGGAGCCTGGTGCATGGTTCACGATGACTGGACCGTTGTCATCACAGTTCCATGATTAGTGAGGATTATTAAGGTAGATTTATAGGAATACGGTTCTACCTCTATTGTACCCTTTCCTCACCTTCCAATATTTAATGGATTGAACAATTTAATATGTAAACTTTCAGTATGAATCAAACCAAAGTATTTTTGATTTACCAATATATTTAGTGTGTAAAGGCACACTAACCTTATTTTTTATTTTTTTTATTATTCATAAATTCTTTCCTAACCCTAAATAATATACAAAATCAGAGGATTTTTAAATCTACCAATTGGTGCTTAAAAGGAGACTAATATGATTGTATTTACAAGGCTTTCTTTCATTGATCCGTAATATTCTGAATGTTCTCGCCATATATTCTAGTGACTCTGTGGAGAGAATTCAAATTAAAGGTACACCAAATTTAAAGTGATAGCTTTAGATAAATGTACTGAAAACCCTATTGAATGAAAACTCCGCAAGTAGGTGGGTTTTCAGAGGTTGAATTAAATGTGTTCAGCGTATGCAAGGGAACCATGCCTGCAAATCCCATTTATGCACCTGCATAAGGTAAGTCTGAATAGTTACTATTGAGAAGGCTTACATTTCCTAAGTTTGAATCAGCCCCTATGTCATTTCCAGATTTGCAGTGCTCATCTTTTCCATTAATTTGGACATGAGGCGTTTAGCTAGATCTATCTACATAACCAGACGGCAGTAATTCTCAATTTATCATTATTATATTTGCACTCACATGGCTATGGTGATAAGCAGCATGTAGAGGCACTTGAAGACAATGTCGCCAGCGTAGCAGGCCCAGATATTGGCTGTGAAAGTCATTGTGAAAAGGGCTGCAGCTCCCAGGCCAGAGAATTAACCCAGAGCCAACTCTCCCCACTGGGCCCAATCCACCTGGGTGAAACCAATACCATAGGCTGTCACTGCTCCTGCAAGGAACACACAGTGCTCTGAGCCCTAACATTTTACATGACGTTGCTATATACCATTGTAAGGTGTTAGACTGTTGATGATTGATTATTAATGCCTGACAAGCATCTACAAAAAACAGATGGTCATGTATCCTGTTTGAGATGGTTTACTTGAGAGAATAAAGGGACGTTCTTGAGCTCCATATGCTGTGTTCATCCTTTAGTCTTACATTTTTCAAAAGTTTGTGTTTTTGGTTGCAGCGGTGGGATGCAGTTGTTCAACAAGTATATTATTATTCTGGCTTTATCTAGCTCTATTTGTGATATTTTACCTTACCTCGCTGGCTTGCTAGCTTGCTAGGTAATCAATCCTCTGACATCCGCAATGTTGTAGACGATAACGATAGTTACTGGGTATGTAATTCCAGTTCTATGAGTGGAGCAAAGCGCCTTAGCGGGAGCTTCGCTGCTATTGGTTTACCCCGCTGCCTAGGCAGTGCAGCCTGATAAGAAAATGATGCATGCACTCCAGCCAATGGGAGACCAGCTAACCCTATATGTTGGAGCACCCCCTATCCATCAGCCTCCCTTATAGTCTTCAGTGAGACCCTGGTGGCCGGCAGAGCCTGAAGCCCACTCCTTTCCACTCATAGAACTGGAGTTACATACCAAGTAAATATTGTTCTATATTGTGGAGCTCCGCCCCATAGGGGGGGCTTCGCTCCTATTGGTTTAGGGTAGGGCAGAGCAAGCGAGCCGGAATGTACTCCCTGCTGGTCCTAACACTTCCCACATAAAGAAAAGGAGTACTAAGTGTATATAGCTACTGTGTCCTCAGTCAGTCAGTCCGCCGCACCTAGTCAAAGACTGGTGAGCAGACCGAAGGTCATGGACAAACTGAACTCTGCAGACCGTAATCATGACCCCTTACATATGTCCCACAAAGAAGGCTGTCAAAGAGAAAGAAATCTCAGTAGCCCACCAACCCGGTCCCTCAGCCTAAGCCCTCTCAGTACAGACTGAGCAAGAGAGAGCCCGAGGACATATCTAAGAGATATAAACGGATAAATGGGGATGGTGTCGACCACGACACTGGCGCACAAATATCCCTGATCCCCACATCCCTAAAACGGCAAGTGGAAGCCGCAACTCCACGTGTGGAGTGGGCCCTGATGTCCGAAGGCAAGGGACGCCCTTCTGTCTGATAGGCTATCTCAATGCAATCGCAAAGCCAGTGAGACAAACGCTGCTTGGAAAGTGGCCTACCAAGCGCAGCCGCGCCATAGCAGACAAACAGCTGAGGCGATGACCAATGTTCCCTTTAAGCTGCATGGGGCTCCCCTGGGACTGCTATGTAGAAGAAATATCAGCCTGTGCAGAGAAGCACGAGATTGACCTTCACTCAACTTTCTAGTTTTCCCCTTTAGTTAACACTATCAACGTTTCCCTCTACTGTGGGAATTGCCAATATTAGCCACTTTCAATGCAACATACCTAAACAAAATGAACTATGCAACTTAGTATGCAAAAGAAAACTATGATCGATATTTTCTTGTAGGCAGAACGCACCGGAGTAGGATTCTATTGCATTGACAGGCATGACTCAGCCCATACTCTACAGACCGGTGCGGCATAACCAGTCAGTGCTGCAGTATCCCTATATGCAAATAGACCATTGCCATATATGGATCTGTGCCATTCACTTTGAACTGGACTGTGTTCACAGCATGAGTGGTCAGGAGGAGATGCACTTGTTTTGAGATCAAAGCGAGAGCTTCATGTAGCCACGTGCACATTAGTTCATATTCTTTGCTAGTTAGTGAGTTATTAGCCCAGTTATAGTTCATTTCTAGTCAGCAATGGGGGAAGTGGTTGCTTCCTACAAGATCACAAAGCGTGTGCATTTCTAGCCATCTTTGAAAAGCGAGTCAGGTAAAGATGATAATTTTTTTCTGTCTTAAAGGGGCAGTGTTGTATTTTGAGACAGGGTTGAATAAGCTAAGTAGCCAATAGGCAGAGGGTAGCACAATTTGTCTGATTCTCTGTAATAATGGTATGGGAATAATAGTTAACTTTATTTTGTGGTGGTTTCAAACAACACATTCTCAGTCACCTCCTTGTCTGAAGGACAAGTGAATAAACAGGTTAATGTCAAGCCCTGCATATTTTTTTCCAAAAGTCTCACGGAATGTAGGCCTACATTGAACACCACACATTGGCTGGTACTGTAGGCTGAATGAAAGAACAGCTATTTCCATGTTACAATGTATGGGATGCATTTTCTCCATTGATTTTGATGGTAGGCCACTCTGATAGGTCTACATTATGATCAAATAGCCACAGTAGCCTACTTGACCACTGTTATAGCTAACTTAAAGTGGGTACAGCCTCAGTGTTTACCAGAAGTTGCACTGAATTTTCACAAAGCTCAAGTTTGAGCTCAGCAGACCAGAAATTTGCTCAGTGCCGAAAATAATGTGATTAGAGGGAACATTGGCGATGACTGAATTACACACAATGCGCGAACTGGACACAGACGATGGAGCTGTACCTCTCTGGCCCCTTCATGTGGAGGAGGGGAGAAAATCCATAGCTCCAGGATCCGCGATCTGCCTTTTAATGGTGAGACAGTCGTGTCGACAGAGCGCACAGGTCACTGACAAATTTGGCAGAGTTCAAAGCCAGTAGCAATGCTGTCTTTAGAGACAGCATTTTCAATGGATTCTGGGCTAATGGCTCTAATGGCGGCTTACAATAGAGCTCTGCTACCCGACCCGTGCCCGACGGGCCCCTGACATTATACATTGGGTTATGGCCGGGTAGGGCCTGATTTTGTTTTATCAATAACTAGGGTACAGGTAGGGCTCGGGTATCACTAAATTGATCACTAACATTTTGAAGCTGGGCCATTTGTGCATGCTCTGCTGCGCCGTACAGTTATATCTGACTAAGATCATAACATGGTTTCAGAAGTGCTTCAACCTCATCAAATATGAGACAGGAGAGATTACTTCATAGAAAATAATAATGTTCCTTGAGTTTAGCGTGATAAAGCAGCTAACTGCTGTCTGATGTTGCTTCATTGAGCAGCCCAAGCGGAGCTGTTGCTATAGATACTCAGACTCAAAGCTGCCACGAGCAGAGCGCATGCAGAGCGAGCTGTGTGCAGGGAGCGAGCAACGGACAGAGAGGTGCAGCTAATGGATTTACTAACGGAGGAAGTTATTTCTGATTCCGGGCTTCGGGCAGGGCCTTAAAGTGGGCAGAAGCAATCGGGGCCTGAATGTTCCGCGCGTGGATAGGGCTTAAAATGTACGTCCGTGCAGGGCTCTAGCTTCCAAAGCTCCTCAAGCACCAATGCCAAATCCCACTGTGGCGCCGTGTCCCCAACAGAAAATATTTCTTGAAGGGGTTGCTAAAAACAGACACCCTGCCAAATCCCTCATAACAGGCAGAAATCACTGAGGCATACACCTTAATGGTGGATGGCAAAGGTTGTCTGTCAAAGAGAAATTGCAGAAAAAAGAACTCTCCACCCGGCAACACATCGGGTCGATGGTTTTACTGTCGCACCAGCGTGTGAACAATATTGGGGTGCAGACGCCACTCGTCGTCCCGAGGACCCCCTCGGGACTGAGGTCTGTCCCTTCGTTGAGCTGGCCTGGAATGTGTAGTGATGTCAACAAGACCTAACTCCTCCCTGGCGGTTGATGTAGGCCACCGCAGTTCGATTGTCTGGTCAGACCAACACGTCACGACCCTGAAGCACAGGGTGAAGTGTCGCAGTACCAGCAGAACTGTTTCCAACTCCATGAGGTTGATGTGACACTCCAATGGAGGCCACACACCTCCCACTGCCAGAGTCTGACATGTCCCACTCCATCCCGTCAGAGACGCGTCTGTATAGACCGGGATGTGCGAGGGGATGCCAATAGTTCAGATCCGCTCTGAGAGAGTGGAGAACTACCAACAGACGACAATGATGATGCACCAGATCTAGTCGTAGCTGGGTGAACCACTGCTGTAGTGTGCGCATGTGCAGGAGCCCCAGTGGGACCACGGTGTGGGCAGACGACATGAGCCCTAGAAGGGACATGACAGAGTGCGCCGTCACCGTGCTTCGGATGATACTGACTGAGGGCCAACAGAATCGCAGATTTTCGAGGATTAGAAATCCGTGCCATCATGGTCGCAGTGTAAAACTGGAGACCCAGATAAACAATCTGCTGCACGTGTGAGGACCGACGCTGGGAGATGAGAATCAGGTACAGGGAGTGAACATTTAATATAAACAGACATGCAGACACGGGGATCAAACTGGGGAACAAACCGATTTAGAAGGGGCAATCAACAAAGTGAAGGAGTCCAGGTGAGTCCAATGAGCGCTGATGCGTGTAATGATGGTAACAGGTGTGCATAATGATGCCCTCGAGTGCCAGGGAGGGGGAGCGGGTGCAGGAGTGACAGCACGCTCTTTTCCCAATTCTCAGCGTGAAATGCATCACCAGCCAGGCTGTGTGTGCTATCGCCAGCTTTGCTGACGGGGTGAGAACCTACAGGTCGTCAAAGTAGGCCAGCATCCTGACTCCTTGGCGACGTAGAGGCTCTATAGCCGCCTCCACACATTTGGAAATGGTACGAGGTGCCAGGGCATACTCGAAAGGCACCCTTGTGTACTCATACGCTACTTCCCTGGAAGGCAAAGCATAGAAACCTCCTGTGACACGGAAGCACATGGAAGTACGCTTCCTTCAGGTCGATGCGCATGCAGACGTTTTTTTGTGAGCATGGGGGAAAAGGCTGTTTGGGTACGCTCTTGTTCAGTACACGTAAATCCAAAATCAGCTGCACGCCCACGTCTTTTTATGGCACGAGAAAGTAGGGCGAGTTGAGATCTTTTTTTCCTCTGCTCCGGAGGAACTACTGTAATTGCCTTCTTTGCAATCTCTTTGTTCAGAGCTGTGACCTTCTCTAGAGATGCCATCACCGTCGCCACGATTCCCGTAAAGGGTGGAGGGGTACAGTGAAATTGAATAGCGTAATCTCGCCTCAACTTCCGGTATAGCCAGGTGGGCAGAGTACTCCCAATAATTCTGTGAAAGCAGGAGAGTGCGAAACTGAGGAGCATTCAGTAGAAAACGTATTTATTCCCCTATGGTCCTGACCGCTGCTAAATGCCGACTGTATAACAGTGGCACAGCCCAACTTCCCTATAAGCACACTCAACTTTCCCCCCCAAGCACACATGACATAGGTCATGTGGGTCTGCAGTAGCCGACAACGTCGAGTGTCTTCTCCATCAACGGCAGGTTCGTCCTAAGTCTTTGGCGTGCTTCTCTCTTCAAGGCAATTGTCAGTCTCACTGAAGAAAAATGGAGACTGATGGATAGGGGGCGCTCCAATATATAGGGCCAGCTGGTCTCCCATTGGCTGGAGCGCATGCATCATTTTCTTATCAGGCTGTGCTGCCTAGGCAGAGTGGTAAACCAATAGGAGTGAAGCCCCCCCTATGGGGTGGAGCTCCACGATATAGAACCATCTGATTACATGTTTGTTAACTTGCACAAGCTGCATTTGAAGTTGCATGTGATTGTATCCATTGCTAGGTAAACAACAAGGTTTCTGATGAAGAACTGCACAATATGGTCCAACTGCGACCCGCGTCCAGGGAAAGACCGCCCAGGGAAAACCAACCCCCTCATTCCATTGGCTCCTGGATGCTCCTCTTGGACCGCTCAAGGAAAACCAGCCCCCTCTTCCCATTGGCTCCTGGATACTTCCTCATTCTACGGGTCTACAGAGTCGGATTTCACTTAGCAGCAGAACTACTGCAAGAGTTTGGTTTTGAAGCCGGAGAGGATGAGTCGGAGTCATATTTCACTGTTAGTTTTACACAAAAAATAATTGTACCGTTTTATTTTTTTACTTTTACCCCTTTTTCGTGATATCCAATTGGTAGTTACAGTCTTGTCCCATCGCTGCAACTCCCCTACGGACTTGGGAGAGGCAAAGGTCGAGAGCCACGCGTCCTCCGAAACACGACCCTGTCAAGCCGCACTGCTTCTTGACACACTGCTTGCTTAACTCGGAAGCCTGCCGCACCAATATGTCGGAGGAAACACCGTCCAGCTGCCAACTGACGTCAGCTTGCAGGCGCCCGGCCCGCCACAAGGAGTCGCTAGAGCGTGATGGGACAAAGAAATCCCGGACGGCCAAACCCTCCCCTAACCCGGGTTGACGCTGGGCCAATTGTGCGCCGCCTCATGGGTCTCCCGGTCACGACCAGCTGTGACACAGCCTGGGATTTAACCCAGGTCTGTAGTGACACTTCAAGCACTGCGATGCAGTGCCTTAGACCGCTACGCCACTCGGGAGGCCGACTGTTTATTTGTATTGAAAGTACTTATGATGAGTGTACTGTTGCTTGAATGTGTTGCATGCATGTGCTTGCTGTGACTGTCTGTCACCCCCTGACATTAGCGAGACTATAGTAGCTACTTCCCACACTGTTGCGGGACTGCAGTGCTTGGCAAACGGGAGCGAAAGACACTGTGTCCCGGTGGTGTTGCCATTCATGCGCTCCCAACTGAGTAGACTGTATCATGGTGACATCTAGACGACTACCAATATGAGTTATTTCTTGTGTAAGCTGCTATCCTACTTGAAATATAATCCTGGGAGGGGCAAAAATGGGCCACGTTACTAGCTACCGCCGGCGACACTGTGATACAGCTGTCCAGTGGGAAGCACCTCAGATCGACAGGCATCTCGATACAACACTGGTGCACTGGTCGCCATGTTAGTTACCGCTGGCGACACCTCAATAAAACACTGGTGCACTGGTCGCTATGTTAACTAACTTTGCCTCCCTGGTTGGTCCATCCCTGGGCTGTTCTGGCCTGGCACAGGATGCGGGTCGCGGTCAGATCCCAACTCGAACTGCGCACACAACATTTCATGACGGCACCAGGAAATGGGTCTATAGCGTTGTTGGCTTACTCACCAAATAGGTTGGACACAGCTTCCACCCCTCCATCGTAGACTGTGAAGTTCTGGGATGGCTCTACGTGCTGCCACAGCACCTGAACATAGTTCATTGTCTGGTTATAACCACAGATGGCCAGTGCCCACCACACTGACCAGTACAGTAGCTCCCTGGTAGAGTAACACTGGATGAAGTCTCTCCACAGCTGGATAAGAACCTGGCTGCAGCTCCTAGCTCTCACTGGCCCCTCAGGGGACTCTGACATTTCCCCATCACCTGCACACGTCCCCTCTTCCTAGTGCCTCTGGTAGTTCTTGGGCGTCCATTTCTTCTACATTTCCAGTTTTATGCCTCTCCTGACTCCGATGGAAGAACATGCTTCTCTGTGGCATTGGCAGGAAGAGGGAAGTCACCAGGGCAATGGAGATCAACATCAGGGTTAGTACCAGGATGTTGTTGTAGGACATGAGGTTGAAACTGACCAGCAACTGTCCCAGCACAGATCCCATTGTGTAGCCTAGCAGCTGTACACTACAGCAGTAGGATGTAGCTTTGCGGTAGTGTTTCAGGTCCACTATGCTGTAGATGTATGAGAAGTAGGCCACCTCGCTGGCTGTCACCACGGCGTAGGCAAACTGCATTGCCTGCATGGCTGCCACTCCCTGCAGCCAGAGCAGCATTGCTGTGGTAACAAAGAGGTTGATGCACTGGAACACCACGACGGGCTTGTAGCGCAGCCAATCAGTGAGCAGGAAGACGGCACCAGCACAGCCAGGTAGGAGTATGTCCACACAGGGAAAATCTAATTGGTCACCTGAGGTAAATGGTAATGATGTCAAAGACTGGTGGTGCATTCGTACGCTATCGGAAAGTCAGAGATACGATTTCCCGAGTCGGAAAGACCCACTAGAATGACCCTCCAAATCGGAGTTCCAAGTGGGAAACTCACACCAGAATGAGTGATGCTGCCTGACCTTTCACCTTCAGATCAAAAGATGACCGACACAGCCATTTACATCCTTAATAATGTGGATAATGTAGTTAGTTTGACCAATAGTCTATGTTTTGACACATTGTCAATGTAAGCAAGCTAACTCATTTATTAGCAACATTAGCTTGCTTAGCCATCTAGTTTCTCATTGGTTGAATAGTTTTTCAGATTTCAAGCACTCAAATGCATTCATGATGTCATCCAGAGTTCACCAACTGGGAGCTACGAGTTCCCGAAAAGCATTCGAACGCACCATCAGTGGACCCTACCAAGAATGTTTTCTTATTATTTCTTCACCTCATTCAATACATTTCACTTTTTTATCATAACCCCTGGTACATTGACTCAGGGTAACACTTTACTTGACATCAGCGTCATAACACATTATGACACAGTCATAAGATGTCAGAACAGCTGACATAACTTGTCATAACCTGTCATAATATGGTCATTAAACATACAGCATATTTAGACCTGTTATGGCTGGTTATGACACCTACATAAGAGTGTCAACCCACAAAACCTACCACGGTAGTTATTTCATGGCTGGTTATGACACCTACATAAGAGTGTCAAAACCTACCACACAAGGAAAAACATTCATGTTTTACAACATGTTATATAAAATGTTCTGAAATTGACCATTATTTAATTATCATTAATTGCCACATTGATGTTTTATTATCTCGCTGTCATACTGTGTTCAGTCTTGCCTAGCCATCTTGTTTCAAGAGGACCACAATGGAAATAAGTCCCAGATGATTTTACTCATGTGCATGTATGGCTTTTTCAAGTTTTATGTATCCTTGTTTTTTTTTTATGGTCGAATTAATAAACTAAACTAAACTCGAGATCGGTCTCGAAACCACATATTGAGTGTCTCGGTCGTGTCTCGATGTCGGATACATTTGTCCTCGGGCTTGACTCGGTCTCAGACAGTGAGGACTCGCAATTCCTTGCCGAGACCAGCGGTAAAAAAAACTCATAATTATCAGCTTCCATTCAGTCAGCGCATTAAACCGCTTCGCCAGGCCAAATATATACACTCCTTTCTTGAAACAATCTCTTAAGAGCCTTTATCTATTGTAATGACCCAGCTGGGTCATAAAGTAAAAGAGAGACGGGCACCAGGTGTACAGGCAGAACACAGTTTATTCCTGAATGGGCTATTGTTCAGGCCACACCCCACGCCGCTAAACCTCGAACATACACAAATATAACATGTCAAATCAAGGGTCCCGAACAGAAGAGAGAGAGATGAGACCGTAATCCCTATTTAAGCATTCCAAAACCCCGCGGGATTACCCATCATACCCCCCCAACCTTTCCATCTGTCCTGGCATATTTAACCCCTGCTAGCACCCATGAGAACGATAACACACCCATGAACACAGAACACAATACAGGGTCGTTACATAGCCCCCCCCTTTCTAAACCCTAGCCCCTAGGGTTACAAAACAAAATCCTTAAAACGACCCGGAGGTCACATCAGTCTCTTGTGCCTCCCCTTGACTCTCACTGGTGGACCCCCAGAACACTCATCTGCCCCAATGTCATTTCCAGCGCCCTCCGAAGAGGCAGCCCCCGTCCCAGGCTCAGCTTGCACTAGAGTCTCCTCGCTAGACTGTCCCCGTGTGCTCACATCAGAGTCCTCACTTCCATTCCCTACCGTTTTCCTCCCTCTGTAGGGCGCCAATCGGTCCCGGTGGACCACCACCTTCCTGCTCCGTGGGGGAACCTCCACCCGGTACGTCACCTCCCCCACTCTCTCTATCACCAGGCACGGCCCCACCCAGGCACTGTCCAGCTTTGGGCACCGCCCCTTCTTGCGCGTGGGGTTGTGAAGCCACACGCGTTCTCCCGCTCCAAAGTGCCTCCCCCTAGCGCGTGAGTCATAGTGGCGCTTTTGGCGCATCCCTGCGTTCTCGAGTTGCTCTCTTGCGAAGGTGTGAGCCGCTTCTAACCGGTTCTGCAGATGACGAACATAGTTCGGGCCAGGCAAAACCCCGTCGTCGTTATCAGGAGGGTGGCCAAACGTCAGTTCGGCTGGGGTGCGCAACTCACGACCTAACATTAGTAGCGCTGGGGAGCACGCAGTCGATTCTTGAACAGCCGACCTACATGCCATAAGAATAAACGGTAAGTGGGTGTCCCAATCTCTCTGGTGTTTTGAGGTAACAATAGCCAGCTGTTGTGCTAATGTTCTGTTAAATCTTTCCACCAGCCCATCACTCTGGGGGTGAAGCGGAGTAGTGCGCGTCTTCTCCGCGCCTAACCGTCTACACAACTCTGAGAACACCCGTGACTCAAAGTTTCTCCCCTGGTCGCTGTGTATAGACTGTGGCACCCCAAACCGACTGATTATTCCCCCTACCAATGCATCAGCTACTGTTTCTGCCTCCTGGTCTGGGAGAGCGTAAGCCTCTGGCCACTTGGTGAAGTAGTCCATAGCAGTTAGAATCCACCTGTTACCGCTGTCTGTGGTTGGAAACGGTCCAACTATGTCTACCCCCAGTCTCTCCATGGGCTCCCCTACTGGGAATTGTTGTAGGAGGGCATGTGACTGACCTGGAGGTCCTTTCTTAGCAGCACACTCATCGCACTGCCTGCAAAAGTCCTCCACATCCCTCCTGTGCCTGGCCCAATAGAAGCCTTTACGTACGCGCTTTAACGTTTTGGAGACCCCAAAATGCCCTGCGCCTACTCCCCCGTGAAGCTGCTGTAACACGCTCCCTTGCAGCCTTTTGGGAACCACTACCTGCCACGTCATTTCTCCAGTAGCTGGCTTTTTCCACCCCCTCTGGAGCACTCCCTCAGCCACTCTAAGGACTGAGAATTTAGCCCGGAGTCCTTTGGTGACTGGTGATAGAGGGGCTACTTCCCCCCATGGCGGTCGTCTTCTCTCTTCCACCCACCCCAGCACAGGACGCAGCTCTGCGTCCTCCTCCTGGCGACGCCTCCACTCCCCGACGTCCACAGCTTCAAGCTCCCGGCGCTCTGTCACCCTCAGCTGACTCACCGTGGCGGTGACTCCCTCCTCCATGCACAGTTCCCTCTCTCGCTCCACCCGTTTGGCGCAGTACCCACAGCCGTCCTCAGCACACGGGCGGCGGGACAAGGCGTCTGCATTGCTGTGGCGAAGGCCGGCCCTGTGCTCCACCTGGAAGTCGTAGGGTTGCAGCTCCTCCAACCAGCGGGCGATCTGACCCTCTGGCTCCTTGAAGGAGAGAAGCCACTGCAGGGCGGAGTGATCCGTCCGCACCACAAACGGCAGGCCCCCCAGGTAGTACTTGAAATGGCGTACTGCTGCCACGACAGCCAAAAGCTCCCTCCTTGTCACGCAGTAGCGTTTTTCAGCCTTATCAAAAGTTCTGCTGTAATAAGCTACTACGTGCTCCCCGTCAGAACCACGCTGAGCCAGCACGGCCCCCAAGCCCTCATTGCTTGCGTCGGTGTCCAGGATAAACGGACGGTTCGGGTCTGGTGAGGACAGGACAGGGGCCTCCACCAGGGCACGTTTTGAGGGCCTCAAACGCCCGCTGGTGCTCTTCGGTCCACTGAAAAACAGTGTCCTTCTTGAGAAGGTGGTTCAAAGGAGCTGCTATCCCCGCAAACCCTTTCACAAACCTACGATAGTAGGATGCCAGACCCAGGAAGCTCTTAACCTCTTTTTTTCCCCTTGGAATTGGCCACCCCCTCACAGCCTCCACTTTGTCTGGCATCGTGCTGATACCCTCACCACCCAGCTGATGACCCAGGAACGCCAACTCCCTTTGCATGAAATGGCACTTTTCCGGGTGTAATTTTAGCCCCGCCCCCGAGATCCTCTCCAGCACTCGCCTAAGTGCCCCCAGTGCCCCCTCAAACGACGTGCCGTGTACCAATATGTCATCTAGGTACACGACACACTCGTCTCTCGGAACCCCCGCCAGCACTCTGTCTATGAGCCTCTCAAAGGTGGCAGGAGCATTACAAAGGCCGAAGCACAGCACCTTGAACTGCCAATGGCCCCTATCCGTGGAGAAGGCCGTTTTTTCACGTGCCCCAGGCGAGAGGGGCACCTGCCAGTAGCCACTGCACAGATCAAGGGAAGAGAACCACGAGGACCCTCTGACGTGGTCTAGCGACTCATCGATACTCGGTATGGGGTAAGAGTCTTTAGTGGTGACAGAATTTAGGCCCCTGTAGTCCGCACAAAACCTAAGTTTACCCCCTTTCTTAGGCACCATGACGACCGGCGCGGACCATGGGCTATCTGATGGCTCAATGAAATC